ATTGTGTCCCTATAACTTCTCTCTTGGAAAATGTGGTGTGTAATGAAATATATTTTGGACCTGCAGCAGTCCAGACTTACATGGAGAGCCTTGTACTTTGAGGTACAATAGCCTAGTGTGACAGACAAACTTTGGGTCTGCCTCTTTGTGACCCAACAACCAGTGGGAGCTGGCAAGTGGATCACTGAATTAGGAGAGACAGAGAGAGAATGGAATTTAAGTTAGAGGCTGACCGTCAACAGATAGGGACGTCTGAGAGAGCACAGGCAGGGGTTGTCTGTGGGCTAGGCTGGGATCTGGATTTTAGAATTAGGGACTTTCTGTCTGTCTGGAGAGAAGGGTTCTCTGGCTATATGAATAGGCTCAAAGAGGGGCTACCTGTTAGAGCAGGGGTCAGCAACCTTTTTCATCAGGGTTTCCACCATCTCTCTGACCATGTTGTGGGCCAGACTATATTTTGGAAAAAAAATATAAACGAATTCCTATGGCCCACAAATAACGCAGAGATGCATTTCAAATAAAAGGACACATTCTACTCATGTAAAAACATGCTGATTCCCGGACCGTCGGTGGGCAGGATTGAGAAGGTGATTGGGCCGCATCCAGCCTTAGGTTGCCTACCCCTGTGTTGGAGGGAACAGATTGCTAGGGTTAGGTCTAATCTGTGGCTGGACAAGGGTTTATCTATCTATCTGAGGGAAAGTTAGAGGGTTTGGAAGTATTTTATGGCTAGGGTAAAAGAATATACATCCTAAAAAGAATATCTCTGTCCAGTGACAGTTTGAAAGCAATAAGACAGTTAATAAAGTGTCTCTTTGTAACAAAGTATTTTGCCTTGCAAAAGTAATCACTAAGCAATGACTTCTTCAGTGTAAACAAATTAAATTCCTGTTTTGTTTTAAAAGTGCCTCATCCTTACCTAGTTCTTCTGAGTAAGGGTTGAATGGTCAGAGATTACTCTTTACCGATTTGTAACATCTTGCTGCTGGTAAATAACCACACTACCACAAACAGTTAATCCTAAAACCTTTGCTGGGGAAATAAAGAGAGGATGTAACCAGTAAAAGGTAAAGGTAAAGGGACCCCTGACCGTTAGGTCCAGTCACGGACCACTCTGGGGTTGCAGTGCTCATCTTGCTTTACTGGCCAAGGGAGCTGGCGTACAGCTTCCGGGTCATGTGGCCAGCATGACTAAGCCACTTCTGGCGAACCAGAGCACGCACGGAAATGCCATTTACCTTCCCGCTGGAGCAGTACCTATTTATCTACTTGCACTTTGACGTGCTTTCAAACTGCTAGGTTGGCTATATAACCAATACAGTAGTACCTCGGGTTAAGAACTTAATTCGTTCCGGAGGTCCATCCTTAACCTGAAACTGTTCTTAACCTGAAGCACCACTTTAGCTAATGGGGCCTCCTGCTGCCGCTGTGCCGCCGCCACGTGATTTCTGTTCTCATCCTGAAGCAAAGTTCTTAACCCAAGGTACTATTTCTGGGTTAGCGGAGTCTGTAACCTGAAGCGTCTGTATCCCGAGGTACCACTGTACAGTATAACTAATACTGATATAACCAATAGCACACCAATAGTGGCTATGTTATCCATCACCCATCCTAAGCGAAGATGTCTGTCACAACTAGTTTCTTCCACTTGTTTTGCCTGTTTCACAGTATGCTCCAGAAAATGCCATTCAGATGTTGTACTGGGAAAAGAGATTTCTCCTAGTCCTTTGTCCTATTAATAGTTGTACAGAGTACTCCCCTCACAAGTCATAGTGTGTTATGTGAAAGTAACATGCCTGTTGTGATAGACACAACACTCCTAATTATAAAGAGAAGCTTGCACAAAAACAATGCAAGAATTGTGTCCTGAATGCTTATGCTGCTATTACCACATATTACTATAGTTTTAGAAGTTGAGTGTATGAGATGCTATGTTTATCTAAAACCCATGTGAAATTTTGGTCTGGCTCTGCGGAGAACTGTAGCCCCTCAATAATAACACTGCCCCACCTCATCTTGCTTGTGTTGACAAGGGAAAAAACTTACATGGAAGAGGATGGTCAAAGGCCTGGTACAGATCACCAAGGCATTCAATAGGGTGAAGCAGAGAGAAGAATATTATTCTGTCCCTGCCTCATGCATTCTAGTCTTTGCTTTTTCAGTGATTTTCAGTAGGTAGGCAATTGCCATGAAAGGATAGCTTGTCTATTCCCCCAGTATTTTTTTTACTGTCTCTCCCATGCTGTACTCCTGCGTAGAGAGACATGCCAGAGGAAGCATTGCAGAAGTGGATATACTGAAGTTTATGGCACCTAAACAATATGGCAACACAGACTATTAGCCAAACTGATTTCTCTAACAGGATGAAGGCGGGGGTCCTTTTTTAGGAACTGCATCAGGGCCCCTAACCACTTTAACCTGGCTTTGGAGGGTTAACTCTAAGTATGACTATTACTGGATATGATTCACTGTGCTTAAGTGAACAGACCCCAAGCTTTCTGACCCTAGAGCACATTTAAAAGTTTAAGGCAGGGGTCAGCAACCTTTTTCAGCCGTGGGCCGGACTATTTTTTGGGGAAAAAATAATGAATGAATTCCTATCCCCCACTAATAACCCAGAGATGCATTTTAAATAAAAGGACAAATTCTACTCATGTCAAAACACCAGGCAGGCCCCACAAATAACCTAGAGATGCATTTTAAATAAAAGGACACATTCTACTCATGTAAAAACACACTGATTCCCGGACCCATCCATGGACTGGATTGAGAAGGTGATTGGGCCGCATCTGGTCCCCGGGCCTTAGGTTGCCTACCCCTGGTTTAAGGCACTGTGATGGGCACCACAAAACGACCTTTTCACAGAAGAAAACCAGGTGATCCTCAGAACCACATCCGAAAGCAAAACACGGGGTGGGGATTACAGAAGGGGGGAAATCAGGACCCTTCCCTGTAGGAATGGAGTTCACATGGTGAAAGGCACACCTCGCCTGACACAGACACGCCACAGCTTGTCTAGTATGCCACATTCTATCTTTGACCCTTTTGCCTCCTTGGCAAGAGCTTTGCTCTATCTCAGAGGTCAGCAACCTAAGGCCCATGGGCCAGAAGTGGCCCATGTGGGTCACTTAACCAGCCCATGAGCCGCCCCCAAACTGAGCTGCCCGCTCAGCAAGTCCCTGCATGTTGCGCTAAACCGGCGTAGTGCGGCATGGGGACTCTCTTCCACGGCTCTGGAAATTGCTTCTGTAAATGCCCAGACACCGAAAATCGCTCCTGTGCAGGCGCGATTTCCGGCGTCTGGGCATGCGCAGAAGCAATTTCTGCTGCTGCGGACATGCGCAGACACAATTCCCAGCACCACGCTGGCCTGGCCCACGGAGGATCTCCATGGGAGTGATCCAGCCCATGCCCGGTAAGCCTTGCCAACCCCTGCTCTATCTATAATCTTTGAATCCTTGACAGAAGCATTGCTAAAAATCCCCTTTGATAGGAACATGACGTGGTGGAGCAGGGGGAATTGTCTGAATAAACAAGGTAACACCTGGGCCACGTAGACAGTTCATGACAGAAAAGTACTGAAGCACGAAGTTCCTTATGTCTCTGAATGTTTTGCATATTGCTAATAATAAAAAGGGACGCAGGTGGCGCTGTGGGTTAAACCACAGAACCTAGGGCTTGTCGATCAGAAGGTCGTGGTTTGAATCCCCACGAAGGGGTGAGCTCCTGTTGCTTGGTCCCAGCTCCTGCCAACCTAGCAGTTCGAAAGCACGTCAACGTGCAAGTAGATAAATAGGCGCTGCTCTGGCAGGAAGGTAAACGGCGTTTCTGCGTGCTGCTCTGGTTCGCCAGAAGCAGCTGAGTCATGCTGGCCGCATGACCCGGAAGCTGTCTGCAGACAAACGCCGGCTCCCTCGGCCAGTAAAGCGAGATGAGAGCCACAACTCCAGAGTTGTCCACGACTGGACCTAACAGTCAGGGGTCCCTTTACCTTTAATAAAAGGGCTCTGCAGGGCTTGTAGAAGCAGCTTTTTTCCGCACAGCCCACCTGCATCCTCAGCTCTGGTGTCGTCTCGTTCTTTCACTGCCCCCCCCATAAACCCCTATTTGCCAGTGTAACATCTGCTGGGTTCTTCAGCCATGTGACCAAACTATACAGAGTTTGCAGCAAGGGTAAGTGTTCTCCTTCCCTGCCATGCCGGCAACACACTCATTTTCTGGGAGGTACCCTGGCTGAGCTCCCACTGAGTTGAAATGAGAGCCTTCAGTACATGTAGCCCCGACAGTGCCCAGGATTAGCCAGTTTAGCTGGAGATCTACCTATTCCAAACTCTGCTCATCCCGGTAGATTTTGGGCTTGGATCCCTAATTTTTAAAGCAATTAACATTTGGAAGGAGCAGTGGAATTTCAAGGTTAACAATGCTGGTGTCCTCATGGTTCCTCTTGAGTGCCACATTAGGAACTTCAGGCACCAATAATTAGGAAAAGTTATCCAAGACCTTCCCAAGCACAGAACTGGAAGTACAAAGGCATTTCATTTTTTAATAGGTTATAGTAAAACCAAAAAAACACAAACTGCTGATCGTGTCATAATAAAACATCCTGAGTGCTTCATAAAGCTGAATTCATATCACCTTGACAGCAAAAGCAAGGTGACATTGTAATTCATTAGACATTTCTGAAATGCCCTTTTTATTCTATTCATCCAACATCCATCTAGTCGTCCAAGTCATGTATATAAAAAAAACACACACACACAAACAAAATCTCAGTGGTTGTTTCATAATTAAGAAACAACCTTCCTGCAGAGAAGGAGGTGCTGAAAAATTTCCCTTTGCTGACTAGGATTAAGGTTGCCATGGGGGAATGAGCTTTTAGTACATTTTAGTTAGTTGCTATTTCAACGGGGCAATATTATTTGTCTTCCATATTGCAACTCATCCCAATTCCTTCTCAACCCCATTGCTAAGTGTCCAGATAAATAAGATACTGGAGAACATTCTCAATTGCCATGAGAGGTGTGTTTTATTTTCAGAACAAGTAGTTTGGCAAAGAGGCTAGAATGCAGCAGAACTGAAGTACAAGTAGCCAGAAGGATGAAATATTTCCGGAGCTTGCAGGAATATTCTCTTTCTCCACAACTTTAACTTCAATTGGCCTTTCTTCAGTGACTACATCTGGAGGGTTCTTAACATCACAGAAATAAGTGCCATTGTCTGTAGGTTGCATGTTTTCTATCTTGATGGATGCATCTTGCTTTAAAAAATCTCCAGCCCATGTGCTGCGGCCAGTGAATTGTGTATTCTTCCCATCATATGCTTTCTCATTTGAGTAATAGAAAAACTGTAAGCATAAAACCAAACACAATCACTTTGTTAATAGCTGCTTTGAGTTGAACATAGTTGTTGAAGAAGCGGGATACAAATTTTAAATCAAACCGTGATTAACTTTGCAGGAACACATTAATAAAAAGACCACAAAGAGACACAAATAAGTAATTCTGTTAAATGAAAGGGAGGGAGATCAATAGAAGAAATATGTGAGCAAAGTATCTCAAAGACTGCAATTTGAGGACAGGCAAAAATATGGGACACTAGAGCAAAATGTGGATTTGCACTTGCCTGTTTCCACATCAATGTAAGGGCATCCAAACGAGTCTCTCCCCATCCCAGTGTTGTCTTGTACTTTCCCCCCTTTTAATGTGGGATTTGCAATTATTGGAAAGTCTATAACAGCCAGGATTGAAAAACCCCACACTGAAAGTGAGGAAGGTCTGAGACATCACTGGGATGGGGAAGATGTTAATAGCAGGACAGGCAGGTACAAATCCACATATTGTTCCTGTGTGGAAAAAACCTCATTTGGTTCTTATTGAGTGCTGTCAATACACAACAGACAATACTGTTGTGAGTTTGGTGGGAGGTTAGACTTCTAATTCCAGGATCCAACAAGGATTTGATTGCTGAAATAGCCAGACCAGCTTTTTGGTGAGGTAATTGCCCCCTAAGCAATGTTAGAAATGGAGATATGAAAGCTAGGAGTTAAATGGCACCTTAAACCTAGGTTATGAGCACAACAATAGAATCTCTGGACACGATTTTTAAATGACAAGAATACAAAGCTGAAAATGAATGAAATTCAGCTAAAATTTTATGTTCATTTTTCACATGGTCCAGTCCTTCCCCTGCCCACCCCTCTAATATTATTCAGAGGGTGTCTTCTCCAGTCTTCAGAGAGTAGCTGGAAGTGGGGGGGGGGCAGAAAAAGGTCCTCCTTTCCTTCCACTCTGCAGTTTTAAACTGAAATTTTAGATGCAGTATTGGGCCCAGAGGTCAGAAATTGCTTGCACTAATGAAATTCCAGGACGCATAATGTGCCTAGAACAATGGGAGTTTCAAACACTGCCCCTAATTATGGGTCCTTAAGGTAACAAAGGAAATGGCTCTGAGCAAATGGGTGTCTCCCCACCAGTGCCCCCCTACTGGCTGGTGGTTAGAAGGACAAAAGCCAGAGTTGGTATGTGTGAGAGCTAGATGCTAGAAGCAGGCTGCAGGCAGGAGCCTGTGAGGGGGAGACATGCTTGGTTTCTGCTGGAATCCAAGGTTGTGGGAGAAGCAAGACCTGCTGGCGTGTTAATGCTGTAAGCCCCTGCACCACAGGGTCAGGTTGCATATATGTGTAAATAAACCATATATCATAAAGACCCCCCAGTCTCTGCTGCCCCTCATTCTGAGGAAACCAAAGCTATGGTAAGCACCTAGAACCCCTGGAATCTTGTAACACTCAGAGATTAGGGTGGCGTGCAACAATACATTGCTTCAATAAGGCATTCATTCAGTTGACAAAAGAAAAGTGGTGGTTTCCAAACCTGTAATCCACTTTTACCACAAAATCTAATGCAAATCTAGCTTTCCTTCAGGCATTAACTCTTACAGTTATGGGACGGTCATCTGTTCCCCGTTTTCGATAGCTCCAGGTAGCAGAGGCTGCAGTAGTAATCTTCTCTGATGATGTGAACTTGCATGGAAGCTTCGCTACTTTCCCAATCTCCACAATCAGTTCTGCTGGTGTGGACACTATAACAGCTGCAATATCGGCGGTTGCAGAACAAAATACCAACCAGGTCCCTTTAAAGCAATAGAATTACACAGTTTACTTTAGAGCAATGTAAAGCTAGACGAGGGCATGCATAAGTTAGCCTACTTTGAATATTTATTTATTTTTGCTTAAAATATTGATATATCGCCCATTATAGGGGGGAAACCTCAAGGTGGTTTATAATAAAATTGATTAAAAACAACATCTAAAAATCAATGCAGCTGCATTTACAGACAGAACAAAATAGTCATGAAATGTAAGATTGGAATAACAAATAGACAAATTAACAGGTTTTGAATTTGCTGAATTAACTTTTAAAAATGGATACAAGAACGGGGGACGTGAGGAAGTCGGGAAAATAAGCTATCTGAAAATGAGAAACTAAGAAAGAGGGAATTTTTGTTTTTTGTTTGTTTGTATTTTTGTATTGTAGTGTTGTTTGTGATTTTGTTCTTTTTGTTTATGTAAGTCTGTTTATTGTGAAAATTTAATAAAAATCTTATTAAAAAACAACAACAACAAAAACACAAAATAGTCATGAAAAACATATGGATGGTATCTAACACCGTCATTCCATTAGCACAATACATTTTGGCTGCACAATGGAGATTCCTCTTCCCATGCAACCTGCTTGGGGGGTTCCCCTAAAATTCTGGAGAAGATTTGAGGGAGGGGACTGAGGAGAAGTTCCACGTACTGCACAGCTGCAAGTTCTTGTGCCACAGACTATGACACTTATTTCCATGATCTCAAGAACCCTCCAGACATAGTCACTGCAGAAATGCCAACTGAGAGAGAAAATCCCTAGAAAGATCACAACCACAACTTCTGGAAAAATTGACTTAGAATAGAAAAAAAAATGGTTTAAGGTTTGAGAAAGGGTTAGCTAGGCCAAAGGGGTGCCATTGCCTTTGGCCGGCCAAGCCACCCAGAAGTGGGTGGAGCTATCCCACAATATTGGAGAGATGCAGGACACACAGCCTGCAGATCAGCTGAGAAGCAGAATTATCACCCTTTCCCTACTCATCAAATGATTGATCTGATGAGTGGGGAACAGGCAATCTGCATCCCTATTAGGTCACTGGGCTGGGAAGAGAGATTTCAACCTCTCCACCCCCAGAACCACCTATATTTTAATCCCTCCCCCTATTTTTTGCTGCTGCTTCCTGTTATGTACTGAAGTTCTCACCCTGGGCCAGCAGGGGGATACTGTAGATAGTTATGCAAATAAGGGGTCGAAAGTGACGTTCAGTGATTGGATAGCTTTAGAAATCTGTTACAATTACATTGTACTGGAGCTCTATATAAGCAGGCTGACTGAACCCTTCAGTTCAGTTCTGTTCTGGCCTGTGAATAATCAAGAGCTGTTTGAAGAATTGCTGTGTCGTCTGATATGTTCACCCACAACTTAACACTTCCTACATTGGTGGGGTCTTGGGGGGCCAAGCTCAGAGTCTAGAATCACTTACAGGCAGGAACCATTATGATCTGCCCATGAGTCAGTGGCGTAGCGTGGGGGGTGCAGGGGGGGCCGGCCGCACCGGGCGCAACATCTGGGGTTAGGGCAAATCCACAGGTTAGGGGCGCAAATCCACAGGTTAGGGGGCGCAAATTACTTGCCTTGCCCCGGGAGCTGACAACCCACGCTACGCCACTGCCATGAGTATCTGGTAACAGAAGGTGTTTGGTCATAACTGAACCAAAGCAAGAAATGGTTTGAACCATCCTTTAAACTCTCTGTTTTGTTTTGTTACTGAGCCACAACCCACTTTATTATTTTTTTTATATAATATTTTATTAAGTTTTCTTTCAGATATTCAGAAATTTACAGAATAAAAAGTAGAAAGTAAAAGTAAGAAAAAAAAAAGTATACATAAATTCCAACTTTCCAAAGTATTTTAACAGTTCCAATCGGACTTCCCCACATCTTCCGAATTCTGTGTTCTTTGCAATTGTAACATCAGCAATTTGTTACCTTATTTCATGTCTTACTGTATCTTTCAAATACTATGTTTCCAAATTTAAAATACTGTATCTCAGTTAATTGTACCCTGTAAATAAACATAGTATGGTTACTTCATATTGTCTACCTCATCTTTCTTATAACTTAATTTCAAATTCACCTATTCAAGTTGCTGAAGCAAACGTTTCCTAATCGTACACATTCTTAACATTCATACAACTTATAATGTTTTTGCAAATAGTCCTTAAATTTTTTCCAGTCCTCCTCCATGATTTCTTCTCCCAAATCGCGTATTCTGCCAGTCATTTCAGCCAGTTCCATGTAGTCCATCAACTGCGTCTGCCATTCTTCCAGCGTGGGTAAATCTGGTGTCTTCCAGTGCTTTGCGATGAGAATTCTTGCTGCTGTAGTAGCATACATAAACAAAGTTCTATCCTTCTTTAACACTTTCTGGTCCACCATGCCCAGGAGGAAGGCCTCTGGTTTCTTGGGAAAGGTATACCTAAATACCTTTTTTAACTCATTGTGTATCATTTCCCAGAAGGCCTTCACTTTTGGGCAGGTCCACCAGAGGTGAAAGAATGTCCCTTCAGCCTCCTTACATTTCCAACATTTATTGTCAGACAAATGGTATATCTTAGCAAGCTTGACTGGGGTCATGTACCACCGGTATATCATTTTCATAATGTTTTCCTTCAAGGCATTACATGCCGTGAACTTCATTCCGGTGTTCCATAACCTTTCCCAGTCCTCAAACATAATGTTATGCCCAATGTCCTGCGCCCACTTTATCATGGCAGATTTTACTGTCTCATCCTGTGTATTCCATTTAAGCAGCAAGTTGTACATTCTAGAGAGTATCTTAGTCTTTGGTTCTAACAGTTCCGTCTCTAATTTCGATTTTTCCACCTGGAAACCAACTTTTTTATCTATTTTAAACACCTCTTGAATTTGAGCATAATGTAACCAGTCTCGCACCTTATTTTTAAGTTTCTCCTGGCTCTGCAGCCTCCAATTGTCTCCAATTTTTTCAATTATTTCCCAATATTTCGGCCAATAGGCCTCCATGTTGGGTCTTTTTCGAGCCTTGGCCTCCATCGGTGATAGCCACCTCGGGGTCTTGCCCTCTAACAAGTCTTTGTATTTCAACCAGACCATGAATAATGCTTTTCTGACAATATGGTTTTTAAACAATTTGTGAGCTTTAACCTTGTCGTACCACAAATATGCATGCCAACCAAAGACATTGTCAAACCCTTCCAGATCTAGGACATCAGTATTCTCCAACAAAAACCAATCCTTCAACCAGCAGAAGGCTGCAGATTCATAATACAACCTCAAATCTGGCAGGGCAAACCCCCCTCTTTCTTTTGAGTCAGTTAGTATTTTAAACTTTATTCGGGGCTTTTTGCCCTGCCAGACAAATTTGGAGATATCCTTCTGCCACTTTCCAAAACATTCCGCTCTGTCCACAATCTGTAGGGCCTGGAACAAAAATAACATTTTCGGCAATACATTCATTTTTATAGCTGCAATTCGACCCAACAAGGAAAGTTTCAGTCTTGACCAAATTTCCAAATCTTTTTTGATTTCTACCCAACATTTTTCATAATTGTCTTTGAATAAATTCAGATTTCTAGAGGACAAATGAACCCCCAGGTATTTCACTTTTTTAACCACACTTAATCCTGTCTCTCTCTGAAACCCATCCGTTTCTGTAGATGTCAAATTTTTAGCCAAAACCTTAGTTTTTTGCTTGTTCAACTTAAATCCCGCCACCCGACCAAATTCCTGAATCAGTTCTAACACTCTTTTTGTACTAGATTCTGGCTCCTGTAATGTTAAGACCAGGTCATCTGCGAATGCTTTCAGTTTATATTGTTTCACTCCGACCTGTGTTCCTTGTACCGTCCGGTCCTCCCTAATCATGTTCAAAAGCACCTCCAGGACTGAAATAAATAAAAGAGGGGATAAGGGGCACCCCTGTCGTGTCCCTTTTTCAATTTTAAACTCCTCTGTCACCACATTGTTCACTATCAGTTTAGCTTTCTGCTCTGAATAGATTGCTTCTATTCCATTTTCAAACCCCCGTCCCACTCCCATCCCTTCCAAATTTTTCTTCATGAACATCCAAGAAATGTTGTCAAAGGCCTTCTCCGCATCAATAAAGATTAACACTGCTCTCGTATTGATATTTGTTTGTAAAAGTTCCAAAATATCAATAATGTTCCTAGTGTTATCAAACAAATGCCTACCAGGGAGAAAGCCAGCCTGGTCCTTATGAATTACTTCATTCAAAACTTTTTTAAGTCTACTTGCCAGGATATCTGCAAAGATTTTGTAATCCACATTTAGGAGTGAGATGGGACGGTAGTTTTTAAGTTGAGTCTTTTCAGTTTCCACTTTAGGAATCAATGTGATGAAAGCTTCTTTCCACGATTCCGGGGCCTTCTTCCCCTCCATGATCTGGTTACAAACCTCCATCAAAGGTTGTATCAGATAGTCTTTCAAAGTCTTATAATATTTGGAGGTAAGCCCATCAGGGCCTGGAGATTTGCCTAATTGCATGTTCTGAATGGCACCTTCGATTTCCTGTTGCGTTATTTTGCAGTTCAGGCATGTTCTCTTTTCCTGGGTTATTTTTGATAATCCGTTGGTTTTTAAGAATTGATCTATTTCAAACTCTCTCTGTGGCCCCTGTGCATAAAGTTCTTTAAAGTATCTCTGGAAACACTTTCTAATTTCTTCTGGTTTCTGGACAACTCTCCCTTCAATCTCTAGATTTGTAACTGTATTCAATTTTTGTCTCTTTTTCAACTGCCAAGCAAGCAGTTTTCCACATTTATTTGCTGATTCAAACGATCTTTGCTTCATTTGTTTAATTTTCCATTCCACCTCTTGGTTAATCAGTTTCGAATATTGTGCTTAATGGAATTTAATTTCTCTCAGCACCTCCTTCGACTTCGACAATTGCTCCAAAATTTGTTTCAAGACTGCTTCAGATCCTCCTACTGCCATATCCTCTGCTGTAGATTGTTCAGCTTCCAGCTCCTGTGCTACCAGCACAGCTGGGACAGATGATCTACGTGCTTGAGTCAACGTTGTTTGGACAAGTTGTGCGGTTTGTTTTGCTTTAGCCGCCTTTGCTGCTTTAGCTGCTCTTGTTTTCCCTGTGTCACTCATTCCACACCAGCCTCTGTTCAAGGTCAAATTATCTATTGTTCCATGAGAGAGACAAGTCCAAAATATAAACAATCCAATACCGAGAAGTCAAAATAAAGTGTAGTTCCCAAGCCCTTATAAATCCAAGCTCCTCTAGGGGGAGTGCCACAGAAGTTTAACAGAAAGAAGGAACTTTTTCCGCCATTAAAGTTCCTGCAATTTCAGACAAAGCTCCTATAAATCCAATACAAAAGGAAGGACCTCCAGAGCTCTTCTTTAAATTAAACAAAGTCTCCAGAAAGGTGCCTGCAACAGTATCCAATCAGTAATGCTCTGCAGTAACACTTTAAACTTATGTATCAGTTCCCGCAGTTTGACAAGTCTCATACGTCTGGCAGCTCACTGATTTGGTTCCTTTGATCTTTAAAACCCACAGTCAGGAGGATAACTCCAACTTAAAAGTCCCACAAGTTTAGGAAAAGTCCTCTTTTTCTTTTTAAAAGCCAGTTAGGTAAATGCACGATAGTCCCAACTTTTTACAGTTTCTTTTAAAGCGCTTCCCGCTTCTCAGTGTCTTTGCTTTGATCTTGTAAACAAAACCGGAAGACTGACTTCCTGTTTCTCGTCTCCCGTTTTCTGCCGAATTTAGCAATTTAGTCTCAAATCTTAAAGCCCCTTACTCACGGGTATGTTGCTTGTAGCCAGATGTTTCAGAAAGAAAGGTCGGCGCTCATCAGTAACAGCCGCGCGGCTTCGCTTCCGCAGAAAGAGCGATGAACTCACAGCACCGCTCCCCCTTCTACGTTCCGGAGCCCCTTACGGGGTTCCTTCTTCGTTTCTGGGGGGGCTTTAGGTGCCCGCCGAGTCCCACGGCCACGGGCTCGCTCTGCCCGTGGTTTTTCTTGATGGGTCATCGCTATGCCGCAGCGTACGACCCTTTTCTGCGGAGCCCCTCTTCAGAGACTGAAGAGGACCGCCATTACCGTTTCGCGCCGCCTCCGGAAGTCACCCACTTTAAAGCTTTGTACTTTCTTCATGGCAATTCTAACAGCTAAGGAAAGCAAATCCTGTTATGAAGTGGAATTAGCCTGTATAATCAGTTCCCAAATGAATCTGTTCCTGCCGCAGCCAATGTGCATAGAAAAACACACACAAGACATTTCGCAGCTACCCAGAAGGCTCTTCACCCAGACAGCCTTCTTTTGTGATTCTGAATCTCACATAACAAAATATTTACTTCTAATAAAAGGGATATTTGTCAATTGGACACATGAATTTATATGAGTTTCCAGAGATAATTGGATGCACTTTCATTCTGTACTGGTGCTCAGTACTGAGAGCTTCTTTGATGGATCAAACTTTGGGACTTTAAAAGCATGCAGCAAGTTTATTTTAAAGTAATTGATATTAGCTCATTCCATCAGAAGCAGAGCACATCCAATTTCACATTGTACTATAAGGATTTTCGTTCACAAATGTTTCATTGCTCATATTCTTTTGTTTACTATTATTAAGATACAAGTATAGCTGTGGAATTGGCTGCTCAATTTATACTTTTGGTCATTATATACTGCATATAAAAAATACGTAGACTAGAGAATGGTCAAAGAAACTTGGAATCCAAAGCACACTTTCTCAGAAGTAAGGCCCAATTAATACAATGGACTCCGTAAACCTATTCAGGATTGCAAGCTTCATTTACAAGTCCTCGGCGTGAGCCGGACACACTGCACCGAGAGGGAACGCCGAAGGTCTGCAGTTACTAAGACTGCCCGTGACCCAGAGAAGGACCTTAACAGGACCAACCTCTGCTCCGCCCTCGAAGCGACCCCTCGTTTCCCACCCAAAGCGACTTTTGCTCCCGGCCAGGGACCCCAGGAAAGGGGGTGGGGCCAGGCCACGTGTTCTCCCCGCCCGGGAGCCGCTTGCCCCGCCCTCTCGCCATTCCCGCGCGCCCCAGCGGGGACGGAGAAGAGCGGCAGCCCTCACCGTGGCTCAGAGCCAAAGCCAGCGCCAGGCAGAGCGCGGGCGCACGGGCGGGGAAAGAGCGCTTTCGCTTCCCGGGGCCGCCGGTTGCTGCAGCCGTGGAGGTGGCAGCCATCCTTCTGCCTCCGGACACCCTCTGCGCCCCATTGTTGCGCCGCCGCCCACCTCACAGCCGTTGCTGGGGGCGGGGGGCGAGAGGCAAAGCGACGCCGCCGAGTCCTGCTGGCGCGAAAGTCAAAGTGTCCAAAGCACGAGGCCCTTCGCCAACCAAGGGGGCAGCTGCCCTCGAATCGTGCGCGCAGCTGTGGGCGCTGAAACTCCGAAGGGAGACAGCAGGGAAAGGGCTCAGGAAGCTGACCTTGTGGCGGGAATAAAACTCCCCTACGAGGAATGCTTAGAACAGTGTTTCCCAAACTTGGGATCTCCAGCTCTTTTTGGACTACATTTCCCATCATCCCTGACCACTGGTCCTGCTAGCTAGCGATGATGGGAGTTGTAGTCCAAAACCAAGTTTCGGAAACACTGGGTTAGAACAACATTGGGGGAAACCCAACAAACTTTGTATGCTCACCTTCACAAAAAACACATGAAGTGGTTAAGCTGAGCAATGGAGACTTGCCTCCTCTACATGTCCCCATTGAGCTTACTGGTTGAACACCAGCCAGTACAGTACTATCTATTCTGTTATCGCATTTGTCCTCTAAGTTTATTTAACACAGGAATGTTCTACAAAAGGAAATCATAGTACTGTAACTTGTTTATTTGACAAGAGATCCAAACTAAAAAGGCTAACGGGAAGTGGGGCTGTACTGTGTTAGGGTATCCACACATTTTGGCCATCATGGCAGCTTTCTAAAATGGGAAGAAAATGTGGCTGTGCTTGATTTATCATCTGTCACTAATATACGTATTACAGCTGTACAGGCTCCAAGAATTAGGATCACAGAGCTTAAAAAGGCCAAGTTGGTTCCAATAGGAAAAAGGTTATTTGAAAACATTCACTTAAAGATGGCTTGTTTGGTTCCAAACATGTTCAAGACAGTTTTCCAGAACTGTCCTGCAGATTGCAACACAGACAGCGCTTCTCCAAAAACACAGATTTCCAAGAATACCATTATGAACAGGATAAACAAATTACTTTCAGTAGCACCTTAGAGAACAAGTTTGTTATTGGCATGAGCTTTCGTGTGCATGCACACTTCTTCAGATCAACAGAGTCAGCCAGTAAAGCCAGAAAATGCATCAACTTCTGAAACAGGAAAGATTTATTATTGTGGTCACTGGAAAAAGTTGTCAATCAGCTGGTGACACAGATCCCAAGTGACTAATTTATATTTCATGGACTGTATGGGGTCGCTCTGCAAATGTGTCCACCCCTCACAGAACGCCCCCAAAGGGGGCGGGCAATTTCTCTTTAAATGGCCCTCCATTGGGTGGCTGGCAACCTGAGCTCCCAATCGCCCTGCGACGTGAGAAGTGAAGGGCAGAGCCGGGCAAAAGAGCTCGACACTCGCGTGTTGGTTTGCCCTGGTTCCCGCAGTCCTCTTCCCGGCAGGAAAATGGCAGCGGCGACCGTGGCGGTGGCAGCGTTAACGGCGCCAGGAGGAGGCGGCGGCGGCTGCAGTCCGAGACTCGCCGCCTGGCTCAGCTCGTTGCTGCTGGCAGCGGCTCTCGGCTCGTGTGAGTGGGTTTCCCGTGTCGGGGTCGGCGCGCCTGAAAGAGAAGGAGGGGAGCCAAGGAGGGAGAAAGCAGGGCGGGAGAAAAGCCTTTCCTCTTCGCTGAGCCCCGCCGTCTCCGCCAGAACTCGGGCGGCGGGGGAAGCAGAGAGCGCTGGCGGGAGGCGAGTCGTCTGGGGCGTGTGAACGCGACGCTGCGGCGGAGCGGAGCGATGTTTCCTCAGTGCGGTTGGGTGTTGGCGGGGGATTCCAGGTCTCCCTGAGCCCCCCCTCGCAGCCCCTCCCTGGTCTCTCTCCGGTAAAAGGAAGAATGGGTGGGGATGAGCTAACGTACGTGTCATGATGGTGGCGGGTGTACGTGTGAATCGCTTTGCAGAAGAGCCCAGGGCGGAACAGAGACCAAGGAAGAGCAGGTGACTTCTCTCTCTCCCTCTGCTACTCCGCCCTTTGGGTCTTTAGGTTGAGCTCTGCACAGATCATAATAAGGGTAAGTGCTGAGCCAGGCAAGAGGGGAAATTGACTTTTCCTACCCTGCTGCATGACAGTTAACTAACACGTCAACAAAGCCGAAATAAAGACAGGGAGATCTTCCATGATGTGTACTTAATTATATGCTAACACACAGAGAGAAGAACAGAATAAATGCTGAACTGTGGGTCGGTATCCCTGCACTTGATGGACTGTTGGGAGTGGGGTAGCTGGTGAAGGAAAATTAATACCCAATATCCCCACATGCGCTCCCTTCATGTGCTTGGCCATTGTGGATGAAGTCCAATGTTTATTTTCCTGTTCTGCAAGTGTATTTGCTGCCCAAAGGCTTTTGGAAAGTTGGTAGCATGAAGAAAATGACTACTTGCTTAATGTCCCACCTGCCTTTCCATTTTATAAGCCCATGAGATTTCTGTCAGAAAGTTTGAAGTAGACGTCTCATTTGTTCAACTCAGCTTTCACTGACTTCTTAAAGGTGCAACCCAAACCCCACTTACATGGAAGTGCCCCACTGAATTCAATCAGTCTTGGTTGTAAGTAGAGAAGGTTAGGATTGCAGTGTAAGGTGGTGATTTGCTCAGTTAAAAACCCCTCTTCTGCAAGCTTGTTTGCTCACAAAGGCCTTTGGAAAGTTCGGAGGAGGTTGCGGTCTGTGCATCTCCTCCAGTCCCACCCAGATACTTTCTGCAAGTTTGTTTGCACACAGCGGGAAGGAAGTTGTGGTCATGGGTCTCTATCTTTGCTTTCTGCGTATCGGGTTTTACAAAATGTTTTTTGTTACATTTTGCTGAGGGTTGTAATACTCCACATGCTCAGGGCATTTTTTGTATTCCACTAAACCTTATGCCATAAATAAATTTGTTAGAAGACAGTGAAGAAACGAGATGAGAGCTGAGGATGCAGGTGGGCTGCGCAGAAAGAGCTGCCTCTACAAGCCCCACAGATCCCTTTTATCAGCAATATGCAAAACATTCAGAGACATAAGAAACTTCGTGCTTCAGTACTTTCCCATCATGAACTGTCTACGTGACCCAGGTGTTTCCTTGTTTATTCAGACAAAGCCCCCCCCCCCATTCCACCACGTCATGTGAAGTGAAGGACATGAGGCAGGAGTTGGTAATGCAGGTGAGCTGTGCACAAGCACAGTTAGCCAGCTAGCTCTGTGGAGGCTCTTTTTATTAGCACAATATGCAAAACCAGTCAGATACATTTGGGAGTGTGCCCATTACACATCTTCCAATCATGAGATCGGGGGGTGGTACAAAGTTATTTTGGCACCTGTTTCCACAGCGTCATTTTCCCCTTGAACAATGTATGACGAAGGAAACAAAGGTCACAGGCAGGGCACAGCAGACTACTGAGAAAGCCAAAGGTTAGATAGAGGGTAGGATGTTCAGACAGCTGTGGCTTGTCTGCGGGTGGAAGTGTACTCCACACCTGGCGGTCATTCCTTCAGTCATGTTCCTATCAATTGGGATTTTTAGAAATGCTTCTGCCAAGGATTCAAAGGTTAGAGATAGAGCAACGCTCTTACTTCCGGTCAGCGCCAGCGCTAATGGCGGATTTCCCTCGGAGCTCCTGAGGGGATCTGCTCCGCGGGTTCGGGTCCTGCAGCTACGGCGAAGCGGGGACCCCTAAAAATCACAGGTGCGAAGCCTGTGAACAGGAGACTCGGTGCGCACCTTTTGTGCCCCCCCAAAACTGCGAAGGAGCCTTTTTAAAGGCTTCGGAGCAGCAGCGGGTGAGCGGCGCGGTGCTGAGAGTTGTTTACCCAGCCTGTGGAGTGAAGCCGCATCGCCATTAGCGGAGAGCGCTGATTTCTTCCAGAGAATTGGACTTTAAAGAAACAACTACCCGTGAGTAGGATTAAAGATTTAAGGACAAATTGATCTTAAATTTGAAGAATTTCGGTACCGAGACGGGAAAGGTATAAAGAGGAAGTCTGCCTTTCCATTCTGCAGTTAGATCAAAAGCAAAGAGATCGCTAAACTGTAACTTTTGGAGAACTTATTTCTGGATAAAAGCAATCACCGTCAAAAAATAAGAATCCTCCCCCCATAGGCAGGAGTGGTGGGGAGGAAATTGCATCTTATATGCCTGCGGTAAGAGAAAGGAATTTGGAATTTGCACCGCTGTTTTGTCACCCTGGGGACGGACTGCCAGGAAAGGGAAGCCGGCTGTGGACTGTCAGTACATTAAGGTAAAAAAGTAACTTTTGAGCTTGTACGCTACAACAGCAGCAAGAATACTTATCGCAAAGTATTGGAAGACACAAGATCTACCCACCTTGGAAGAATGGCAGATGAAGGTGATAGACTACATGGGACTGGCAGAGATGACTGGCAGAATCCGAAACCAGGGAAAAGAAACAGCGGAAGAAGATTGGAAGAAATTCAAGGACTATCTAAAGAAATATTGTAAAATTAATGAATGTTAGAATGACGTTGGGTTAGAAAATATGTGGTTATCAGCGGTAATGGATAAGTAAAAAAGAAAAGAAAGGTTAAAAATTAAGTGAAAAATAAGGGAAGGATTTGCTGAATAATAAATTAGAAATTGGAATACAGAAAGGGGAGGTATGAGGAAGTCGGGAAAGTAAGTTATAAGAAAATAAGAGTTGAAATTATACTTGTTTTTTTTATTTTCCGTTTGTCTGTTTTATTATATTGTTTTGTTGTTATAAAAAAACTTCTGAAACTTTAATAAAAAATTTATTAAAAAAAAAAGATAGAGCAACGCTCTTGCCAAGGAGGCAAGAGAAGGAAGGAGGATTGAATGCCTTCTTCGCTTGTGGCCATAAATTTGTTGGCATGGTTGGTGGATCTGTTTCTGACCTCTTGACCAGTCCTCAAAGGACTGGGAGTGGGAGAAAGTACAGAGCAGTGTAATTTTGTTACCTCCAATTCACACTGCTGCAAATCTGTTGGATCCAAGATTCAAGGGTGGAAATATAATCACAGCTTCTGCATTGGACAGGATTACAAAACAAGCAGTATACTTAGGGCTTGCTTGCTGTTGGAAAGGTGCTTTTAAATGTTGCAACATACAGAACATATTCAGGTGTTTGGCCAGGGAATGTAGTCTGGGATTCTGCCAAGCGTACGCTACTGCAAGATTGTGTCAAGGCCTTCGCACAGCACAACCTCTGACACCAACTGCTTCTTAGCCATGTCAGATACAGTGGTACCTCTAGTTACGGACATGATCCATTCCGGGGTGCCATTTGCACCCGGAAAAGTCTGTAACTAGAGTGCTGCTTCTGCACACACACACGGCGCAATAGAACACTTCTGCGCACATGCGCGCGGCGAAGACGGAAGTATACACTTCCAGGCTTGCTGCGTTCACAAGCCGAAAAGACAGAACATGAACCTAATGCAACACAGGGTATAACTGTACTTTCATCATCTGTAGGATTTGGGGGGTGGGGACTGGTCTCTGTTGGGAAATACAGTGGTACCTTGGTTGTCGAACATTACAGAAGCCGAATGTTTTGGTTTCTGAACGTCGAAAACACAGAAGTGAATGTTTCTGTTTTCGAACGTGCCTCAGAAGTGAAATGGCTTCCGAGGCGTGTTTCTCCATTTTCTGAATGGAATTTGCCAACCACTCATTGCACCTTGGTTGTTGAACGTTTTGGAAGTTTAAAGGTCTTCTGGAATGGATTATGTTCAACAACCGAGATACCACTGTACACCAAATCAAGAAATAAACTGAGATGTGGAAGAGTAGAAGATTGTTTCACTTTGAACAAACCTTCAGTTTTTAGAAGTCTGGAAACGTTTCATCGCTGAGCTGCAGGGGGCAGAGGAATAATATTTCTCCATAAGGTCTGGAAATATATGGGATTCATGTTTAAGAGTCCAGTGTGGCCCCTTTAAGACTAACAAATTCAGGCTGCAGACATTTACATACTTATCGCTTCTTATTACTTCTATGTTATGTACACTAATCATGGCATGGATGCACACTAGAAATTGTGACAGCAAGGGCCCCTTCTGAACCAAGGTAAGACACTTAGGGGCTATGTATTAATAAGACTACAGTGTTTTGAGTGTCCACTGTTTCTTTGCAAAGGAGGAGGATAGGGAGAGAACCAGGACAGGTGGAAGCCACACAAACGTTTCTTCCATCAGTCTCCTCGTCTGGCAGCAGAGATTCCTTTGGTACCAAACAGACATTTCCAGTTGGGACTAAATAAATAAATAATAAAAAGCAAAGCTTAAGTGTCAACAGTATGTTTGCATGGGAGTAGGATAGGGAGAAAACTAGGACAACTTTGCCATGACCTGTGGCCTCTTAGCACTACCAGGCCAAGTGGGCAGCAGCTGCCATTGGCTCTTCTAAATAGATTTACTTACTTTACTTACTTACTTACTTACTTGTTCTCATGTTGCCACCCTCCACATCTTCTTTGGGTGGGGGAAAATAGAGAAAGGCTTCAGATGCTGAATGTGAGGTGTGGTTTGGCTTGTGTGGGAAGAGGTGGTCCTTAAGGTATTGGAGTCCTGAGTCACACAAGGCTTTATAGCTGAAAACCTGTAATATAATGGCAGGTTTCTATAAATGCAGGCTTCTATAAATCTTGATTTTTGCATCATAGAAACGTGAGTGGGTTTTCTTAAGCACATTTAAGCATTTAAGTCTGAGTGTCGTAGCACAGCAGCAGTGAGGTGGGAGACAATGGTGTCATGGTGAGTGTCCTGCCTAAGTGGTATTCTGCTCTATTCTACCGCATGCTGGACGTGAAGGCAGTGCAGTGAATGTGGAAGTGCCAAGGCATTTCCCCATTGCTAGAATGTTTTATTTCCTGTTTTGGTAGTGCGATGTTTCCTCAATCCCTGCTGGTTTGTTTGCTTGCTAGCTACACCTGGTGTGGGTTGAGCTTGGGAAAGCTCCCAATTTGTATTCTTGTTCCCAACAAACAGCTGAATGGCTTTTCACAAGTTGTAAGTCTTGAGGTGTTTTTCTTTAATTCACGGGGAGCCCTGACAAACTGTGTAGCACACAGAAGCCTTCCCAAGGATTCTCTTTCTCTTTCCATTCAGTAAACACATTTACCTATTTAATTTTTTTAATGCATTTTTGTGTTAAAACTGAGTTGGACTGTCAGTAATCTGGAATCCTTAGCATAGCCTATGAAGGACAGCACTGATAGTGCAGCATATGAAATAACCTTCTTTGCTTATTGTTATTACATGCTGCATCATGTGTATTCTGGTATTGAACCTGCCAGGATTTCGGTAGATGTGGTATGGAGTTGACCAGGTTTGTGTGAACTGGCTTTAGGGCTTGGATGGTGTTTTGCCAAAGGCAAAAGGCTTCCTTTTAAAGGATCCTTGAAGCAAAGACAGAGCACTAGTGGAAAAATGCTGAATTTTATTGAGCAAAATAGGACTTTACAAAGGTACAAAACCTTACCCAAGTTCAAATAATAATTCCTCCTTTGCCAATGGATGGATAGGCAAACAATACACAAGAACTTTCTACGCATTCTTCAGTCATTGGAGGACGTTTTAACTTACGAGCTTTTACTAGAACGGTTACTTAGATGAGCTGTTGTTAGTTGCCCTTGACCAACACTCAACAATTGGGTAAATATTCAGTGATCAAGTTCAGAGGGTATGCATTGCATTCAGGATGAAGTTTATATGGTGGCCGATCTCACACAAAAGCAGAAATAATGCTGGATGTTTCCATAGCAAATGGACTAAGTGCGACTCAACGAATATTTGATGGGGCATTTATTCTGGGCTATAAGATTTCTAATGTAGCTCTTCATCTAACTCTCTTGTGTAATGCTATCATTTCATTCTGCATTGCTTACAATGCATTCTGATTTTTGTGGTGTTTTTGACAGCCCAGGTTTCAGCTGTGGAAGTATACACACCAGCAGAACTCTCTGTGGAGAATGGGACAGAAACGAAGCTTCCGTGCAGCTTTTCATCCTCAGAGGTGGTCACCAGTGTCGCTACTGTTACCTGGAGCTTTCAACCAGAGGGATCAACTACTTCTGTGCCGGTAAGAGATGATGATTGAAGTAAGATGAGAATTGAACAAGAGCCTGCAACAAAGCAGATTAAACATTTCCCTGCTATTTCATACCTTTCTGCTCCTGCTCACTTTTATCACTGGTAAGAGTACATATTTAGGCCGCCTCAGAATGCCAGTTGATCCTGTTATGTTTGGTATCATGGATAGTCATCCTTCTGTGTTTGCTCCACAATACTTCAGTGGCAGAAGTATTATTAAGGTGAGGGGTTGTTTTGAACTAGTGACACATTTGTTAGCCACCTACCCACACTTCACCATGGGTTCCTGTTTTGTTAGCAGGATATGTCTAGTTTAAAGGTGTATGAGGTGATGGCAATAATAGGTCCAATAGTGATCCTGTAGCAGCAGCTGGAAATTGGGGCGAGTGAGTCAGAATAAGGTCTCACCCTGAGCAATTGTATCTACTCCCAGACCTCCCTTTGTGGGGAAAACTAGGATTTTAACACTGTATCCTGTTTTGTGTTCCCGATTACAGTTCTTCTATTATTCCCATGGCAAATCATATCCTGGGAGGGATACACAATTTAAGGACAGAAGCAGCTGGGCGGGTGACCTTAACAAGAAAGATGCATCTATCAGTATATCCAACATGCAATTCCGGGACAATGGCACTTTCATCTGCGATGTCAAGAACCCTCCAGACATAGTTGTCACACCTAGTGAAATCTCAGTCAGAGTTGTGGAAAAAGGTACCGCCGTCTCTGGATACAAAAGTACTAGTAATGATGGTTGATAGAATGCATTTGTGAAATATTTGATTAAATTACTCTACAAAAATCCATCACGTACAGGAGTATTATTTTGGCTGTTCTTGCATAACTTGTATTTTATTCAGAGTGTTTCTGTGAGGAAATTGAACTGTTTTAAAAGAACTAAAAATCCTGTATGTAGTTAGGTTTTGGAATTATGGCGTTAATTTGCTTCTTAGAGCCAGCCTCAGCTGTCTGGTAAACAGTTTGAAAGGTGCTACAAATTTAGAAGAAAAGTTTGGTTTATATTGTAGTCTATTGATAGGATTAAGTCAGCTACTGTATGCTTATTTTACGGTTGAAGTTGTTTGTAGATAGAGATAGAAGAGATAATGTAGCCCAAGGTTATAACTAAAGCGTGATTTGAAATTGACTCGATCTGGGTGGATTTCAAAATGACAAAAAGTTCAATAGGCCACTAAAAGAACTTTTAAACAAATGGCATTCACAGTTAGAGAATAAAGTGTTATTAGCAGTTCAAAGAGATAGCAGTGGCTTGTTTCCACAGTTAGGCATGTGTGTGTGTGTGTGTGTGTGTGTGTGTGTGTGTGTGTGTGTATGTATGTATATGTATATTTCTTAGATGTGCCAAGTTTGCTTTTGTTCTTCTGTGAATGCTGAGTCTTAGTATAGTTGTATGCTCCAATATTTTGAAGTGCAGGCTTGCCAAGAGGCAACAGTTACTAGTTTATCATTATTGTGATTAAGAGCCCAGGGCGGAACAGAGACCAAGGAAGAGCAGGTGACCTCAGGAGAGCCAGAGTGGTGTGGTGGTTAAGAGCAGTAGTCTCGTAATCTGGGGAACCGGGTTCGCGTCTCCGCTCCTCCACAGGCAGCTGCTGGGTGACCTTGGGCCAGTCACACTTCTTTGAAGTCTCTCAGCCCCACTCACCTCACAGAGTGTTTGTTGTGGGGGAGGAAGGGAAAGGAGAATGTTAGCCGCTTTGAGACTCCTTAAAGGGAGTGAAAGGCGGGATATCAAATCCAAACTCCTCCCTCTCCTCCTCCTCCTCTTCTTCTTCTTCTTCTTCTTCTTCTTCTTCTTCTTCTTCTTCTTCTCTCTCTCCTTCTGCTACTCCGCCCTTTGGGTCTTTAGGTTGAGCTCTGCACAGATAATAATAAGGGTAAGTGCTGAGCCAGGCAAGAGGGGAGATTGCTGCGTCCTTGAATCAATCTCTTTCCTCTCTGCTGGTACCGGATAAAGCGCCCAAGACCTCGTATGTCTGAAATTGGTGTTGCCATTGTTTGGCCTTGGGTTTCCTGCCTTCATTTGTAGTGCTGTTTGCTTAAGCAGACTGATTTATAGTTTACTTTCTGGTTGGGTAGTTGTTAGTAATTATAGTTTGAGGCTGAGAAAGTAGCATTTTTTTAAGGGTAACGTTTGTTTCTAAAGTATGTTAATCTAGGAAAAGCTTTTCCCCAGACCTGTTGAGGTTTTTAGCTCCACTGAAATAACTGTGTGCTCCCTGTTTACCCCACCTTAATTGTTAGGGGAAACCACTGCTGATTGGTGACAATTTACCCATAAGCAAGAAAGTCAGTGAACTTTGTTTATGTGGAGCTGTTGGAAATCACTCTCATGACCTAAAGTGCTCTGTGTTTCCATTTGCCATATCAGGCTAGTCTATTTCGGTATCTTCCAAAATTTTGCAATGCTAGCTCAGCAGAGCAATAGGTAGTATTTACCACCATCCACCACCATCCATCTTCTAACTTGTTATCATGCCATCTTGTTGATGACATTGTTAGGAGCACATAGGCCTGGGATAGGGAATTTGTGACTCTCTAGATGTTGGTCTCCCATCAGCTTTAATAAACATAGCCAATGGTTAGGGATGATGTAAGTTGTAGTCCAACAGCTGAAGGTGTCCGACACATGATTCTTTGTATACTGCTGACCGTATTGTATTGTTGAGCTCATATTAACATTGGTACATCCAGAAGGGAAGGATCTTTGCCTAAACTAATGAGATTGGTTTTTATTGAGAGTCTTCCTTTGGTAATGAATTTTCACAATTGGTTATTTTTAATTATTAGTATATTTGAAATAAGATGTTTGATCAAAAAGTTTTATAATCTATTTGGAAGACTCAACACCATACATCAGTTGTGACTATGGAATGCTTGTAAGGTTTTCCCTGTTGCATTTCATTAGCATCCCATTAAGTAGAAGTAATTTCTCTGTTACATAAAATTATTCTGTATTTGATTGTGCATTTGAATAAGGAATAATTTTTCTTTGACTCAGAAGGGTGTAAACATGTTAGGTTAGGGTAATCTGCTCTTGACTCACTTCCATCCATACTAGGTCCGCCTCTGGCAGAAAAATGCAGATCTTGACAAGAATCACTAACTAATTACAAAATACAATTCGTTGCAGTAAAACTGTTTTTTTCTTAGTTAAGCAGAATTTATATAAAAGCTGGGTTCCTTTGGAGGACAGTATTGGGGTATAAAGCTAATAAATAAAATAATTTTTCTACTGTTATTTTCCTCAAAAAAAACACACCTTCAGACTGCTACTATATTATGCCAAGGGACAGACAATAAAGGAAAGGTAATTTTTAAAAGGTGTGTACAAAAATATCCTTATTTTGTAAGTCATGCTAATTTCAGTAGTCTGCAAAATAGGTTAATTTACTAGGAAACTTTTTGCTGCTGCCTTTCTTCACTTAGAATTTTGGTAAAGTCAGATCAAAATTTTCAGACTTAACCTCCCTAAGAGAAAAAGAACTTTAATTGTTTGAATGTATACTTGTTCAGTGGGACGCTGGTGGCGCTGTGGGTTAAACCACAGAGCCTAGGACTTGCTGATCAGAAGGTTGGCGGTTCGAATCCCCGCAACGGGGTGAGCTCCCGTTGCTCGGTCCCTGCTCCTGCCAACCTAGCAGTTCGAAAGTACGTCAAAGTGCAAGTAGATAAATAGGTACTGGTCCGGCGGGAAGGTAAACAGCGTTTCTGTGCGCTACTCTGGTTCGCCAGAAGCAGCTCAGTCATGCTGGCCACATGACCCGGAAGCTGTATGCCGGCTCCCTCGGCCAATAAAGCAAGATGAGTGCCACAACCCCAGAGTCGGTCACGACTGGACCTAATGGTCAGGGGTCCCTTTACCTTTATACTTGTTCAAGTGTTCGTGTGGCTCCTTGTTGTGGTGGATAGGTTGGCATCCATCTGTCTTGGAAGTGAAGTCAAACTGTTGGCGATAAACCATCATTAAATTAGAAGATGAGTTGCAAGCTCACTGGGGTATTGACCTCATGATTTCCTGGAATGTAATTTTATTGTTAAGGACTCCAGCCCAGTTTTTATTTTTAAAACTTTGGTCACGATTTGGCAGGTCAGATACTCGAAACTGACCACATATTTTTAGAGAGCTATCACTGCAATGATTACAATGTCACATTAAGAGATCAGCATTTAAAGCCTGATCAGTCATGAAGTTGAATGAAGGAACTTGATTAGACACCATCTTTCAGCCTTTCTTATCTTACAGGTTGGTGGTCAGGATAAAATTATGTGGGCAGATGAACCTTTTATGATGCTCTTTGGAGAGGAAGAGAGCAATAATTTATTTATTTTTAAAAAATAAATTAGTCTGCACTGTGTTCAGGAGGAACACAAAAGTAGAAATAATATTGGATGTCTCTGAAGGACCAGGTCCACAATTTAGGCATGCTTCTGGATCCAGCTCTGTCCCTGGAGGCTCAGCTAGTCTCAGTGGCTAGAAAAGCTTTTCACCGGCTGTTCAACAGCTATGACCATTCCTTAACTAGGAAAGCCTTGCCACAGTAGCTCATGTGTTGGTTATTTCAAGACTCAGTTACTGCAATGCACTGTATGTGGGGCTTTCTTTTTGCTTGATCCGGAGTTTGCAGGATGCTGCAGCACAATTGCTGACAGGAGTGAGACCTTGTCAGCATGTAACACCTGTGCTCAAGAGATCTGCACGGGCTGCGTGATTTGCTGCCAAGCCAGGTTCAAGGTGTTTATATACTATTGGTAGTATATAAAGCCCATAACAACTTGGGACCAGTTTACTTACGAGATCGCTTTACCCTAGATGTGCCCTCTCCATCGCTTCAGTCAGTGGTTTGGGCACTACTACATGTGCTACAGTATCCCCATTTGTAAGAACCTGATCCTTTAGTGTGGCTGCACTTATACTGTGGAACTTTCTGCCTGTTGAGATCAAGCAGGTGCCTTCACTGTACTTCTTTTGGCACCTGCGAAAAACATTTCTATTCATGCAAGCATACCCAGAAGCTTAGAAAGTTGTTGTGAATGTTAATCTGCTTTAGTATTTTAACTTGTGTACGTTTTAAAGTATGGCTAAACAGTATTTCTGTTTATCTTTTTGTAAACCGCTTTAAGATTTTCTTTTGCAATCAAGCCATATATAAATTTAATGAAATAAACAAATAAAATAAACATTTGAAGATAGCGTTTGCAGATAGAAGACAAGCTGTAGCCCAAAGGTATAGCTAAAAGAGTGATTTGAAAGAGATAGTAGATCATGGTGGGTCTCAGAATGACGAAAGTTCCTATGTAAGCCGTTAGCAGGTTGATTTAGTTTAGGGATAGTGGGATGCCTTCAGCCTCTTTTATTTTGCAGTACTCTAGTTGCTCCTTTGGGGATTGCTTTGCATGCACTTAACCCATACATAAGTTAAAACCTTTCTTCAAAGAGCAACCTTTGTTAGCCTTTTAGTAAACGTTTCATGTTGGTTCATAAAATGTTGTGGTCTCTCCTTGTCTGTCTTCTGCATTAGTAGTCCCGAGGCTGCAGCATGCTGAGGGGCAGGTTGAGCAACTGGCACGGCGATTGCAGGCACTGGAGCTCTCAGCAGGTGCAGCACAGCGCATGATGGAGGAACGAGTGACCAACCTCACCCACAGAATCGAAGCACTGGAGCAGGTCATGCAACATCGCCCCATGCAGCCGTGACACTGATTCTTTTGTTTTGGGCCTTCCTTGGTTTTTGTAATGCTCCTCTACCTTCCTGCCTTGCAAGTTCACCTGCTGTTTTTTATACTTCTGTGGTTTATTTTTTTTATACTCCTGCTTGTGGTGGTCGGGTAGGATTGCTATGAGGAATTATGAAAAATGAATCAAGCCATTGTGTCAGTGGTGAAAGCATCGTTTTGACTGGGTTTGGGTCATTTGACATGATTTCTGATCAATCCAAGCCTCTGCATCTCTGCCCCATTTCTGTTGCCTGAAAGTCACATAAACAGACCGGTTGCTTCACCAGGAATCCTGAGCCATAAAGATAAGGAGGTAGCTTTGTTGTAGCTTTTGTTTGTTTTTGTTAATCTTAGGGCCAGGAAACAGAGTTTCACATGGAGGTGATAAAAATGCCTATCTTTCCTGTTTACTTCCTGTTTATCAGGTTTGCTAAATACATTCCTCCTTGATTCCTGTTTTATTTAGCCTAAACATGTACGCATGCTCAAATTAGTTATTTGTAGTTAAGAGGCTTCCTCTGATCTAACTTTGTTCCAACGTGGGGATTTTTTTGAAATGCTCAGAGGAAATTTGATTGGTTCTTACAAATGCTGTGTAAAAGTTCTTTCGTTAATAAAACGGCCTAGACAAGGGAGTGGCAATTGCACTTCCTCCCAGAGTCTTGCTGGTCAAGCCTTGCGTCTATTGAATTAATCAGGGTCCAATCCTTCCTTTGCCTTCAGAATGCAACACGGCTTAGTGGTTTGCACGAATGGTGGCAGCAAGCCTGATGCCCGCCCCCCCCATCCTTAATACATTCCACCATGCTTGCTGTTGTTTTTCACCTGATGCCTTTTGAATTAATTTCCTTCTTTTTTAAGATTGTACTTTAATGCTGTGTAAAGCCATACTGTGGTGCGAAGCTTGAATCCATGGGTTTCTCTGTCATGCTTTTATCTTTGCTGCGTATCCACTGTAAGCATTTTGTTTAGAGGGAGTATTATTTGAATGTCAATTAGTATAGTATCATGTCGCTATGTTAGTATTACTTTAAGAAAGTGCCTTTTTGTCAATGTTCCAACGAAAAAACCAACTGTTGGCTTTTTGAGCATCTGCGAAAATAAACACAAGAATTTCTTTATAGCCAGTTTGTCTCATCACTTCCTGGGTGTGAGAGGCCATGGATGTGGCAGCAGAAAGCAGTGTCTTGCCAACTGCAAATTTAGGGGTGGGGAAGGGAATACCATTCAGACGTTATGCTGGGGGGGAAAAGCCTCTCCTAGTTCTCCGTCGTATTAATAGTTGTACAGAAAGCTCCCTTCACAAGTCACAGTGCATTATGAGAGATTAGCATGTACTGCAATGTGAAAGACACAACACTTCAAACAAAGGAGAAGATTGGACAGAAACAATGCAGAAATTATGTCTGGCATGCTTATGTTGCTGATACCACATAATTAGGGCATTTTTTCAACTGGAATTCAGTTCCGGCACCTCTCAGGTGGGTGCTATTGCCATTATAAGAGAAAAAGGGAGCCATTCATGGTGAGTTTCGGCATCCCTTTTTCTAGAAAAAGAGCACTGCATATAACTATAGATTTCAGAAAACAGTGTATGAGATGTTATGTTTATCTAGGAAAAGGTAAAAGGTAAATGACCCCTGGACAGCATTGCAATTGGTTGGGCATTTTTGAAATGCTCTCTTTATTCTATCCATCCATCTAGTTGTCAAAGTCATGTATAAACACACACACACACACACACACACACACACACACAATCTCAGTGGTTGCCTCATAACTAAGAAACAACCATCCTGCAGAGAAGGAGGTGCTGCAAAATTTTCATTTGCTTACTAGGATTAAAGTTGCCATGGGGGAATGAGCTTTTAGTACAGTACATTTTAGTTCAAGCATAGGCAAACTCCGGCCCTCCAGATTTTTGGGACTACAATTCCCATAATCCCTAGCTAACAGGACCAGTGGTCAGGGATGATGGGAAATGTAGTCCCAAACATTTGGAGGGCCAGAGTTTCCCTATGCCTGTTTTAGTTAATTGCTATTTCAGCGGGGCAATATTATTTGTCTTCCATATTGCAACTCATCCCAATTCCTTCTCAACCCCATTGCTAAGTGTCCAGATAAATGAGATACTGGAGAACATTCTTAATTGCCTCAAGAGGTGTGTTTTATTTTCAGAACAAGTAGTTTGGCAAAGAGGCTAGAACGCAGCAGAACTGAAGTACAAGTAGCCAGCAGGATGAAATATTTCCGGAGCTTGCAGGAACATTCTCTTTCTCCAGAACTCTAACTACAATTGCCCTTTCTGCAGTGACTATATCTGGAGGGTTCTTAACATCACAGAAATAAGTGCCATTGTCTGCTGGTTGCATATTTGCTATCTTGATGGATGCATCGTTGTTAAAAAGATTTCCAGCCCAAATGCTTCGGCCACTGAATTGTGTATTCTTCCCATCATATGCCTTCCAATCTGAGTAATAGAAGAACTGTAATAACAGAAATAAACACATGTAACTTTGCATATATCCCTTTAATCTTCATACTCCTTCATAACACTGAGTGGATATATTTCCAACACTGTGGAGAAATACACATGATTTCCAGTAGTTACAGAGAGCAGGACACTCAGATGCAGCCACCTGACACGCAAGCCTTTATTTTTGTCTGGGTTTGAAAGAGTGGCATTTTTATGAGAGAAAGAGCAGGTTGCACTAAACCCATGGGTGCTACTTCTGCTTTTTCTGGATATACTGAGAGGCATCTGGCTGAAAAGTTCAAGGTGTGTCATCTCAGCATAACACTGGAGGAAATTGCTTTGACCTCCAAGACTTCATCCTGCCTGGGGGTTATTGGGATTAATTGTGGGTATGGTGGCATTGTTACTGCATAGTTTAATTCACAACAGGTCTTTCTGGCAAGGCAGCTGTGCAAGAAAGGGTATAAGCAGGTTCCCCTAGCCTCCCCTTTCCATTACAAATCCCACAGGGTTCAATGGAGCTTACTCTCAGGTACTATGCACAGCCTAAGACAGTAGATTCAAGAGGAGATATGGTTTTGACTGAAACATCCCTCATCTCAGACACGTATACAAAGACATAAAGGTTTGCATTTATCCAGTGATTCCACATGCCTGGGAGGAGAAGAGCCAGCTTGCGTGCTACTAGTGGGATAGAGATCTTCCAATAACACCTTTAAAAAGAGAAAGGGGGGAAATGATGAGCAATTACCCCTAAGATTCTGCAGGAGGCTTAATTGAAAGGGAAAGGAGGCAAAGCAGAAACACAACCGGAAGGGTGGGTGGGGAAAATTGGAGATTGAGATTGCACTCCTATGAATGCTTACCTGGGAGTAAGCCCCTTTGAACTTACATGGGATTGGGTTTGTTTATGGTTTATGCTTTATGGGGCAAGAACAAATTCATTAAGAGGCTACAAAGAGAAACAGTAAAGAATTGTGATAAAGGGGAGAGTCCAAGAGAAGAGAGATAGGAACAAAACATATGAAATGCTGCACTTTATATCTAAGGACAAGCAAAATCATGGGTATAGCCAGGACACCCACCTGTCACCATCCTCTGTCTGGCTTTGTCTAGCAGATTTGGAATGAAACGTCTCAACAACAGTGGTTTTAAATTATTTTCTTTTGACCCCAAGGGCTCAGAAAAATCTGTCAAGATCTTTCTACCAATTTCTACTTTTAGTTAAGTTTTATTTATTGATTGATTTAGGGGAGAGCAGCAGTTCCCCTGCTCCCCTCTGGCTATGCCAATGGGCAAAAACTAGGACTTGTCCACACTAGAGGAAAATGTGGATTTGCACCTGCCTCTCACTGTGCTCATGTAGGGGCTCCCAGTGTTGTCTTGGAACCTCCCCTGTTTTAATGTGGCTTTTTTTTTATCCTTGGAAAGTCCTGAACAGCCAGGGTTAAAAACTTTCCACATTGAAAGGTCTGAGACAACATTGGGATACAGGTGGGTTGGTGGAGAGGCAGGCAGGTTCTGGGTTGTGGACAAGCCCTTGGCATCCATGTGTCCATCCACACTGTCCATCCAGTGTGACCAAGGTAGTACTCCCATCCGCAGCCTGTCTGTCCCACCACTTCCACTACTGGTGGAGAAGTGGCACCAGCCTTGGTGCCTATTTCCAGAGAAATCTTACGAGATCTTGTAAGATTTTACCAGAACCTGCCATTGCTGCTGTCCCTTCCTGCTGGTGGCATTTCGCCTCAAGCATTGAAAAGGGGTACGCCTCCCCTGTTCCTTTGTCCATACTGAGTGCTGTCATTCCACGACATACAATTAATTTCTACAAGACATTCATACAATTGACAAAGGGTGGTGGTAGTTTCAAAACATGTAACCCACTTGCACCACAAATGCTTGTGCAGAAATTTGCTCTTACAGTTATGGGACGACTGTTTGATCCCAGTGCTTGATAGCTCCAGCTAACAGATGTAGCAGCACTAATCATAATTGATGTTCTGAACCAGCATGAAAGCCTTGCAATTTTCCCAGACTCCACATGGATTTCTGTTGGTGAAGATACTGCAACTGCTGTCTTCTCGGGTGCTGCAGAGCAAGATGCCATTCTGGCCCCTTTAAAAGCAATAAAATAAGACTGTAGAGCCAGACAAAGCTGTGCAGAGTAATGAGGTCTCCAGCCTCTTGACATATGACACTCTGGGAGATTAGTGAGTATAAAAACATGGCAGCATATATGTTAAACAGATTTGTCCTCTCCACACCATCTTCCAACTTACTGTACATGTAGACTTTTCTGTCTAGTACACTTAAACTGCAATAGTATCTCCTCTGAAATGGCATCTCAGACATCAGGCAGGCAAATTCCTCTCTAGAGCGACTGGCTCCTCTGATGTCCCAGCCCAATCAACAGTGGATCAAACTTTGGGACTTTATAAGAACTGCTAAGCTGTACTCCTCAGAGCCTCACTGCTCCAACTGAAGAGACACTTAAGGAAAAGGGGTAAGTTAGGTATGAGGCCAAAGATGGTTCTCAGTACCATCTTTGCAATTCCTAGGTCCTTGACTTGATCTACAAGTACAAATACAGTATCACTGAGGCGCTGGGGTGCAAAGCCACCAAATGCATCTAAAAAAGTAATTCTGGGGTCATTCATCTTGCCGTGCTTCAGGAATAACTTAGAAGAAAGCACTACAAGTAAAAACAGAAAACCAGAAGGCTGAAGTAACCAGTTCCCAATATTTTACTTTTTACAAAAAGAGGTGTAGACTGAAATCCAAAGCAGTTTCTCTGAAGTAGGTCCTGTTGGAAACAATGGACCCCGCACCCCTGTTTAGGATCACAAGCTCCTGAGAGGGTACTAAGGCCGCAACGTCAACACCACACAACCAAGTGTGAGATCCCTCCGTAGCATTAGTTAATCTTCCTCTCTTTGCCACTGCTCATAAAGCCGCCTTCTTCCCACCGTAATTCCTCATCCAGTGATTTCCCCTTCCAAGCAACCCCTCGTACTAAGGTTTCCCGCAATCCATCCTCTGCTCCCCCCGTCGAAGCGACCCCTCTTTTCCCACCCAAAGCGACTTTTGCTCCCCGCCAGGGACCCCAGGAAAGGGGGTGGGGCCAGGCCACGTGTTCGCCCCGCCCTCTCGCCATTCCCGCGCGCCCCCTTCGGAGACCGAGAAGAGCGGCAGCCCTCACCGTGGCCCAGAGCCAGCGCCAGCGCCAGCCACAGCGCCGGCACGCCGGCGGGGAAAGAGCTCTTTCGCTTCCCCGGGCCGCCGGTTGCTGCGGCCGTGGAGGCGGCAGCCATCCTTCTGCCTCCGGACACCCTCTCCGCCACATTGTTGCGCCGCCGCCCACCTCACAGCCGTTGCTGGGGGCGGGGGACGGGAGGCAAAGCGACGCCGCCGAGTCCGGCTGGCGCGAAAGTCAAAGTGCCCAAAGCACGAGGCCCTTTGCTGCCCTCGAATCGTGCGCGCGGTTGTGGTCGCTGAAACTCCGAAAGGTGGGTCATAAAAATGACCCAGACGCAGAGAAGAATGCCTCTTGATCAGTAGTACGCGCCACTAGCTAGGGAACAAAGAGGATGTCCGCTTGGTAGGCAAATCTTTCGGGGAAGATCTTGATGACTTGCTGTTATTTCATTGCTTTTGTGTGTGTTTTAAAACACACTGATGTTACTTCAAAGCTGCTTCCTGCCATGATGTAAATAATCATAATATAGGAATAGAGTCGAGGAATTAGATGACTGCTTAAGCAGTCTTTGGTTTGCTTGAGTATTCATGCGTTATATGTTAACAACGTACCAGAAGAAGTGTGTGGTACATGAGAGCCACTGCATACCTGTTAAGAAGACAGTCGTTTAAAATACTCTGAAAAGTTTGAACACTGCACCCCAGAGACTGAAAACAATAATGCAATGTTTATGTTTATATTCTTCAAGAATCTGATAGGCAGTTGCGATCCTGACACTTGGTTGGTGTTTTGATTGGACCAAGGGTTCAATCCCTCACAATTCTATAGGAAACAGTACCACCCCGATACATGTGGTCCATACTGTGAAGTCATCATTCCCAGGTTGTGCAGAGTACAGTGGTACCTCAGGTTACAGACGCTTCAGGTTACAGACTCCACTAACCCAGAAATTGTACCTCAGGTTAAGAACTTTGCTTCAGGATGAGAACAGAAATTGTGCGGCAGCAGCGGGAGGCCCCATTAGCTAAAGTGGTACCTCAGGTTAAGAATAGTTTCAGGTTAAGAACGGACCTCCAGAATGAATTAAGTTCTTAACCTGAGGTACCACTGTATTATAAAGCTTGTCAATGTGTAAGGCAGTGAGGCCACGCTGGGGAAAAAACACTTACAGTATATGCTGCCGAAGAGCAGAAGCTGGTCATGCATAATCAAGTGACAGTGGTTGAAGACTGGCCTACAGACCAGCTTCTAGTCTCCTCCAGATTATCTCCTCCATCATTCTGCCTCAATCTACATTTTTATATTTGGGTTTCAAAGTCAATCACATGCAATGTGGGCTTAAGATCTTGACTCACAAGCATGAAGTTACTATGGAAACCCCCACATTTTATTTTCAGTACTGGCAGGAAATGTAAGTTTCAGTGAAATGACAACTTTTAGAGAAGCCTGGAATTCTAGCCACCACCATGCCCCCTTTTGACACTGATATATTTGTTCTCTCCTTTCCACAGAAGTACTTAGGGAGATTTGGGATATTGATATTGATAGTCCTAGGCACAAGAGATGGCAGTTCAATGGAGAATGAGAAAGACAAGGACACACACAGCTGAATCTGCAGAAGTATCTTAAGATGCTGGCTGCTTTCCTCTCACGAGATCTGATGTGGGAGCAGTGGATTTCTCCTGTTGGTCAGAGTGCTTTAGTTGTGCCTCTGCCTATGTTCACCCTGCATATACATAGAATAAATGCAACCATTACAAATTACCAGTAAGGCCAGTGACTTGCATAAGGAAATCACACCCGGGTAAGCACCATGCCCCTATAACTTCTCACCAGGAGAAATGTGGTGAGTATAGTAAAATATATTTTGGGTCTGCTGCAGTCCAACCATGAAGAGACGCTTTGAGGTGCAATGGACTAGCTTCTCCAGGTGGTTTTGCCTCTTTCACAGCCTGCTCCAGAGAATGCCTTTCAGATGTTGTGCTGGGAGAATAGACTGCTCCTAGTCCTCTGTCCTATTAATAGCTGTACAGAGAGGACTCCCATCACAGGTCACAGTGTGTTATTTGAGATTAACGTGCACTGCAATGTGATAGACACAACACTCCTACCCATAAAGAGAAGTTTAGACAAAACAAAGAATTGTGTCCTGAATGCTTATATTGCTAATGCCACATAACTGTTGCACGGCACCCCCAGTATCCAAGGGTGTGGGATTCCAGGAGTTCCAGACGCTTACCCAGGGTTCGTGTTTCCTTTTGGAAATGAGGCACAGCAGGGACTGTGGTATCTTTATGATATATGGTTTCTTTACACATATATACAGCCTGAGCCTACGATGAAGGAGCTTACAGTATTCACACCCTAAGAGGGTCTTGTTTCTCCCATACCCACAGCTTTGAATCCAAACAGAAATCAAACATTTCTCTTAAATGTTGCTCTGACTCTCTCCCACTTTCAATTCTCATCTTTGTATTTTTCTAACTACCATACAGGTTTTTTTGGGGGGGGCACAAATTTACCATCTCACACTGATCCATTTGCTTTTGTTTCTCTTTATGGCTTTTGTTTCTCTAGCATTACTTACACTTCAACACTTGCTGGATCCAGAGGTTAGAAGGGTCTCTGCATACTGCCTACTTCCCCGCCCCAAAGTCATAACATAACTGTACAGCTGAGAAGACAGTGTGTTAAAACTCCCTTCTCAAAGAGGTTTCTCTGACAACTTCAGACAACGTTTTGGCAAATGCTGAAGACGTACCTCTTTGCCCAGGCCTTTGACACCTCAAATATATATTTTCAAGACTTACCCTATCTTTTGTGATGGTATTTTTTTGTAATTCTGAATCTTTAAATAGTTTTTACTGTTGTATTTTAAATTGTTATAACCCACCACAGGACCTTAGAATAAAGGGTAGGTAATTAATTAAAGTAGTGATAATAATAATAAATTGGAGAACACTCCTAATAATCTTAAGAAGTGTACTTTATTTTCAGAACAAATAGCTTTGAAAAGATGCTAGAATGCAGCAGAATTGAAGGACAAGTAGCCAAAATGATACTCCATTAAGTGAAATGTTTCCAGAGGCTGTGGTTGCCGTTGCCATTGCCGTTGTGGTACTTGCAGGGGTTGGTGCTGCTCTTCCAGGGCCCAATATTTTCTCTATCTCCAAAACTCTAACTTCAACTTGCTCTGGCTCAGTGACTATGTCTGGTGGGTTCTTAACATCACAGAAGTAAGTGCCATTGTCTATAGGTTGCATGTTTCCTACCTTGATGGATGCATCCTTTTTATAAAAATCTCCATCCCAGGTACTTCGGCCATTGAATTGTGTATTCTTTCCATTATATTCCCTCCCATTTGAGTAATAGAAAAACTGTAAGCATAAAAACAAACACAATAACTTTGTTAATAGCTGCTTTGAGCTGAACATAGTTGTTGGAGAAGCGGGATACAAATTTCAAATCAAACCATGACTAACTTTGCATGAACATTTAACTTTTCTTCCTTCTTTAGTAACATTGAGTGGATGTTTCCAACACCTCGGGGATTGATTACACAAAACTTGGATTCTAAGCTTGATCTTCAGTGGATTCACAAAGGGTAACACCCAGATGCGGCCAGCCAAACCACCAAACTTTATACTTGTTACATTTCGGAAGCCTCTCTAACTTTTTGCCGAATCCTAGGCATGTTCAATCTGAAGTACCGTAAGTCTCACTAAGTTCAATGGAGCTCAGGCTGTGTACATTTTACTACTTACTCTGGCTGCAGCATGCTGCCACTGCTGTCATTTGAAGCCAAGTAACAACAACAACAATTTTATTATTTATACCCCGCCCATCTGGCTGGGTTTCCCCAGCCGCTCTGGGCGGCTCCCAACAGAACACTAAAAAGAGAATAAAACTTGAAACATTAAGAACCTCCCTGAACATGACATTGCCGCAGTCCATAGGCCTCCCATAACTTCTGGTGATATACTCCTGTCTGGTGTGCCTTCCTTCAACCCAGCTTTCATCCATTAAGAATATGGAAACCATGGTTAAGCTAAGGTATGTATATTTCAGGCAGCTGTTGCACATGATAGATTTAGTGAACTGGAGCTTGCATCTCTGCACCCTCTGTTGTGAACAGCAACATTTAAAAGTGATTTGAAATGCAGGGAGGTGGGGGTGATGACCTTACTTCATTTCAAGCTGTTAATGTGCACATAGCCCAACTCTCAAGTATGTCTATATAAACAAACACCATTAGTTGTGCTGCTGGATAAGTGTTTAATGCTTATTGTATTTGTTTAAAAAACAATACAAAATTTATGTATATATATGCCCAGGATTGCAGCTGTCAGTCAGCAAATTCCAGAGGCTAAATGGTTTCACCTGATAAATCCCTCCACTCAGACACACTGCCCCACATACATAGAGTTACCATTTCTATGACCTAAGATATCAAGAGATGGCCATGCAGTGAAGTGGAAAGGAAAAGGGCCACCTTGGGCACTATAGCAGAAAGTGAGATAGAAAACTTCTAATAAATCTGAAGGAGAGAGGGAGAGAGTCAGTGATCAACAGTGCATACCCCAAGCTGCAAGCTCTTACAGGCAGATTTGTTAAAGGACAAAGGAGGCAAAGCAGAAACAAAACTGGGGAGTTGGGTGGGGAATTTTGAAGATTCGGATTGCAGTCCTACAGATTCTTCGGAATAAGTCCTTCTGAACTTACTTCCAAAGTGAACATGCATGGAATTGGGATTGTTCATCAAATACTTGAGTTTTAGGAGCAAGAACACGTCCATTAAGAGGTTACAAAGAAACATACAGTGTGATCTTGAGGAAATAGAGGCACTGCAGGCAGAATATGGTCAAGAATATGGTTATGACACTGCAGGCAGAATATGGTCAAGTGCTGTCATTCCAGTGCAGACAATAAATAGTTTCCATAAGACAAAATTAAGGTAGCGCTGTCAAAACATGTACAGTGGTACCTCGGGTTAAGTACTTAATTTGTTCCGGAGGTCCGTACTTAACCTGAAACTGTTCTTAACCTGAATCACCACTTTAGCTAATGGGGCCTCCTGCAGCTGCTGCGCCGCCGGAGCACGATTTCTGGTCTCATCCTGAAGCAAAGTTCTTAACCTGAGGTACTATTTCTGGGTTAGCGGAGTCTGTAACCTGAATCGTATGTAACCTGAAGCATATGTAACCCGAGGTACCACTGTACTCCACTTTCACCACAAATTCTTATGCAAAACGAGGCTCTCCTCAGACATTAACTCTTACTGGTATGGGACGAGCCTTTGATCCCTCTGGTTGAAAGCTCCAGGTAACAGATGTTGCACTGGTGATTTCCTCTGATGACCTGAATGTGCATGGAAGCTTTGCATCTGCCCCAATCCCCACAATGAGTTCTGTTGGTGAGGACACTTCTTCATCGGCTGTGCTATCGACTGTTGAAGAACAAGATGCCATCTGCGTCCCTTTGTAAGCAACAAAATTACAGTTTTTAAACATGCAGAGCAAGACAAAACTCTGCATAAAGATTTGATTTTATATATGGATATGTTGTCTGTTATGAAAGTATCTCAAGCTGATTACTAAAGGTAACAGACATCACAACTCTCTTGGTTCCACAGACACAAAACATCTGCATTACTGTTTTCATTATATTTTTAGTTTCTAACTTTGATTTTATTTGGTACTCTGTTGTCATTTTATATTGAAGTTTGGCACATTTCCTGAAATGTGGGATAAAAGCTTGACCAATGAATAAAACTGAATGTTGAGAAGATATTTCTGCACAGGGTCCATGCACAGGCCTCTTTCACCAAAATAGATTTCATTATATGAAGTATAATAAAGTAATAGTCCTAGATTTGCACGGGACTGAAAAAAGTTAATTTTCCAAGAATCAAACTAATCTGCAATAACACAACTAAGGGGAAAATCTAGAACCACATTTGAGGGAATCAATTTATTACGGTTTATACGGTTTATACGATTTATACAGACCAGAGATACTAGAACCACATTTCTACTATATCATGCAGCAAGTTAAACTCTTTGTTTTCAGATTAATCTAGTGCTTTGGTTTCTCAGATGCATCAAATTTTGGGGCTTTATAAGCCTGCAACAAGTTTATCTTTAATTAATGTTAGTTCAATCCATCATAAATATGAAAACAAAAATCCTAAACACGCTGTGAAATTGCATGTACCTGTACTCTGCTACATGCAATTTCATAGCATATTTAGGATTATTGTTTTCATATTTTTCATTGCTGGTACAGTACATATAGGGTTGCCATACGCCCAGATTTTCATGGTTTAAAAAGCTCAACAAGTTTTGGGGTGTCCTGGTTTTTACTTTTTGAAATATGGCAACCCTATGTATCTTGCTTAGATACTGGTTTCAGTGCTCCACTTGAAGGGACACTTAAGGAAATGGGTTCTCAGTACAATTTTTGCAGTTTCTAGGTTCTGATTTGAGTTACAAGTGCGTATACAATCTCAACGAGGAACTGGGGTGCAAAACCGCAAACTGCTTCCAAAATAAAAAACAATAAAAATTACTGGGATTATTCATTTTACTGTGTTCCGTGAGTTACTTAAAATAAAGCACTAAAAGTAAAAACAGAAAACCAGGAGGTTGAAGCAACACCTCCCAGTTTCCAAGATTTTACTTTTTAGGGGGGAAAGGCGTAGACTAATGGTCCAATAATGCTGCAATCCAAAGCATGGACATAGCCAGGATTTTTATTGGGGGTGGGCAGGCTTTTGTTGGGGGGGGGGGCAGAACCTCAGATTTGTATTGATTTGGGGGGGCAGCTGCCCTCCCCTTGGCTACGCCCATGATTCCAAGCACACATTTAATCCCATTGAATACAATGGATTCTGTAAGGACTGCAGGTTTCCTTTGTATGTGCTCAGCACGTGTGCAAGGCACCCTTGCACAGAGAGGGGATTGTCGAGGGTGTATGGTACTGACACGCGCGCAACCAAAGAGGGGGTCACAACGTGCCAGGCCTCCAAACTGATATTTCGTGTCTTCCTTCATCCTGAACTGCCGCTCATAAATAGTGATCTTTTTTCGGTGATCTTGCATCTATGGACCGGCCAACCACTTCCCCTTTTTCAAAGCCAGAGAGAGCAGGAACCCCAGCGAAGGGGGCGCGGCTAGGCTCGTTCCCTTCCCGCCCGCCCCCACCCGCCTAGGCGGAGAATACCAGGAGAGCTCACACAGGCCCAGAGCGAAAGCCACCGCCAACCATAGTCCGGGATCGCGGGCGGCAAACTTCTTGCGCTTCCCCGGAGCGCCGCCTGCTGCCGCCGTGGACAGGGCGCCCATCTTTCTGCCTCTGCCCACATTTTCTCGCCCATTGTGACGCCCACTCCCACCTCACAGCCATTGTTGCGGGCCGTGAGGGGCAGGAGGCTGGGAAAGAACGCGGCCCAGTCCAGGGGAGCCGCTGTCAGGGCGAAGCAGCCTCCCGGGAAGGGCTTCGAAATGCCGGAGCGTAAACAGAGAGCACTTAGGAAAAGCGCCTTGCTGCAGCTGCAACCTCATTATGCACACTTTCCTGCCTTAGAGGGTTTTTGCGAAGATAGAAGGAGAGAAGAACTATTTAGACAGTCTTGAGCATCTCGGAGCAAAGGTGGATTGTAAATGCAATAAATAAAAAAAAACATATGGGTAAAAACAACAAATGTCCATAAGCCAAATTCAAGGTGTTAGCACACACCATGGCTTGGGACCAGGGCCGGATTTAGGTTTGATGAGGCCCTAGGCTACTGAAGGTAATGGGGCCCTTTATATGTCTAGCTTTCCTTTGTCAACAACACATTGTCACTGCTTTTTGTGTGGAATATATGCTATATGGCAATTTATGGACCTAACAGGTTTCTAAAGCCATTTGCACATGTTGCCATGCAACCAGTCCATGCAGAATATAGGCACCTTATATACAGAAATGAGCAAACCAGTGATATTTTAGGGAGCAGGCTAGGCCTATTACTTACATCATAGGAGCCTACACAACACAAAACACTTGCTGTATGTAGGTTTTATTTTATTTGTTTCTATCTTATATTCTGGAAATGTACATCCAGATTTTTTTCCTTTAAGTTTTTTGGGGGGGCCCAAGAGAGTGGGGCCCTAAGCTATAGCTTGTTTAGCTCATACGTAAATCCGGCACTGCTTGGGACCCACCCAAGTACCTAAACATCAACCATCTCAAGCCTCTCCTGCTGTTGGGGGTGCCACCACTAGAGGTTGCTCTGTCTGCAGTAGCCCATGGCAGGGCCTTCTTGGTGGCAGTCCCTGTCTGCTGAATGCCTTCCCTAGTGAGCTATGCTAGTCTCACTCATTAACAACTTTTAGGAGAAACTTAAAAATTAAATAATTCCTTTTTGCTGTGTTTTTGGATGACTGAAATTTCTGTCCCGTTAACCCTGACATCATTAGTGTGATAGTAGATCAGTGCTTTTTTCCTGGGGGGTACATAGGGGTACGCATACCACTAAACATTATGTGAATCTTTGTACTTTTGTCCAATTTCTGTATTTACTTTCCTTGATTTGAACTATAAAATGTTGATTTCTTGAGGCAAAATAAAAGTACCTCTAAACATTATTTTAGAAAAAAAGCACTGCAGTAGATGATTGCTTTTAGGGTTTTAGAACTTTTTAAAATGGTTGTTTTAAAGGCTGTATGTTGTTTTTTTAAAGACGGTTGTAGGATATGTTTGCTGATCTGGCCTCCTTTGGAGTAAAGTTTGAGGGTATAAATCTGATTATTATGATGATTATTAGCAGTAGTAGTAATAAAAAGTCAAAAATATACAGCTGGATTCTACCAAATGAAATTGTCACAAAATTATGGCAAGCTTTTGAGTTGCACTTTGTGAGGTGGGTGGAATGGTGGGAGTGAAAACTTGTGCTAGTTCCGCCCCCCCCCTTCACTCCCAAGTATTAGGCTGGATATTGCAACTCATTTTCAAATGGTCTGTCTCAGGCAGGAGGGGCTTTTCTCCCGAAAGGCTCTCCCCGGGAAGCCCTTCTCAGAGTCCAGCCACCTGACATTGTCCTCAGGCGAGGAGGGCCTTTCCCGTGGGGGCGCCCGGTACATGGCAGACTCTTTCCTCCGAGGTAGGTGGGACGCTGCTGACACCAGATTTGGCGCCAGTTCAAAATATGGCTGCTTACTCAAGGCTTTTGGGGATACCGCAGGTCTCAGCAGGTCTAGCAGTAAACAGATGCCGTTCTGCAGTTTCAAGATCACTATCTCGTATTGATTTTAGTTGCTCTCTCTCGTTATAGCTATAATAATACGGTTGTTTTAAAGCGCACTTCATTGCACCCGCGTCCTCAGATGGTTGCAATGAAGGGCGCCTTCTAAATACTTTGCATATGGACACTGGAATGAGACGTCTCAGGCCGTCTCTCTGCTGCTTTGATAATAATTCTATTAATTTTCAATTGCAGTCCAATAACAGCCTCATTATAACAACGTCAAATTGTAATACAGTTACTAATACCAGTCGTTCAAATCTCCCTGCTGCTTTGAAAAAGCCCCCCTCGGCCATCCTGTTCCTATGACGTATGGTGGATCAAAACAAGGAAATACCTTTCTTTACGTTATTACGTTGTGTGAGGCAAAGGATCTATAGCAGCTGCAAACCGCTTACTGAATACGTATAAGCAGAGAAACAAATTTTGCGCGTGCGGCTGGTGTGGATTCACGCTCCCTGACCCTCCCCCTGCAAATAACACTGTCCTAAAGTAAACCACCTCTGAAAGGCGCATAGGTATTTAAATGTTTTAATGTTGCTTAGCATTTTAACGAAATTACCCGTTAAGTTCTCTCCCAGATACGGCCACACGGCCATAGACTCCTTGTACAGCAGCGAGATTAAGAGCAGACGGCTGGCTCGTTGGTCTAGGGGTATGATTCTCGCTTAGGGTGCGAGAGGTCCCGGGTTCAAATCCCGGACGAGCCCATTTTTTTTTAAAAAAAAATTTGTCGTCTTTGTCCCCCTCCCCCCAGTGCTAAAAGCACAATAAAAATGTATCCCCCCCCACATGGCTCCCGCCGCCCCAGAACTTAATGTACATTGTTGCGGGATTTATTGGTATGGTCGTTGTGCCATTTACTGGTGCACTATGATGTTTACTGGTGCACTAAGATGTGAAAATACGACCCTTTTCCTTTTTTGTTGCCTATTGTGTAACTTTAAGAAGCGTCGTAAGAATTTTTTTTTAAAAAATCCTTCTTCATATTCACCCAGCTCCTTTCCTGCATGTGTAATAATACTACGTATTAATAATTCATGACAATGGTGCTAGTAGAGGCGGTTTTATTAGGAAGCCCAGAATATAATAAAATAAATGCAATCGTTCCACGTGACTCTTAATGGAAAAGAGCATCGGAATAAAAGGCTATTTGATGCCTTTCTCTTCCCTTTCGTGCTCCGTGGAGGCGTCTTAATTTCCTTCTCCCGAGTCCTCGATTTGGGAATATGTTTTTAAAATAACCATGGCAACCTTCATGTCAAAGCAATATTTTCGCCCCGTTTTTCAACAGTGCCACCTCCTGTTAATCTTTATTTATCATTTTCCTCTCGTGAAGGCTCGATCGCTTTCCTGGTTATGTACCAAGCACCTTGTCTCCCGCTCCTCCTCCTCCTCCCACCCACAAGGCCCTGATGATAGAGCTGCAAAATTAATAAAAGTGCGGTCGTCCACCAAAATAGGAAGGAATTATACCACCCCCTCCAACAACGGGCTCGTCCGGGATTTGAACCCGGGACCTCTCGCACCCGAAGCGAGAATCATACCCCTAGACCAACGAGCCGCTCTCGACACACTCCTCCTCAGCTCACTTCTTCACTTTTATCCCGCCCCTGTTGCACTGCGCAAGTATTCCACTTAATAGCCGGCTCGGTTTCTCACATAAACACGTGCACCCCTTCCATTTTGAAGAATGGTTTGGCCCACCGTCCCGGGAGACAACAAAACCCAGTCAAATAGCTTCACGGCATTCTTCGCCCGCCTCAAGGGAGAGTCCTTTCTCTACAGAAGGGGGGCTCGGGAGAGGACGAAGATTCTGGCCGCCTCACGAAAAATCTCTCTGTTCCTTTATATACCCCGTGTGAAGAAATGCAGTGTGCCGCGTTCAGGCTGGGCCGCGGGATTTCAGGGCAAACCCATTCATTTCTGTCGGCAAAACTAGGACGTGAGCGTGGCCGTTTCTCCCTCTTCACAAAATTCCTTGGCGCGGAATTGCCGAGGGGTCCCGTTCACTCACCACCCCCTGCCCCGCGCGCATTCTCCCTTCCAACGGTCTTAGTTTAAATAGAGCGAGTTCCCGGATGAGGAAGCTCTTGCGGTGAATGATGTAGCCACGTTCCACACACCCCTTCCCTGTTTGGGCTCCTGTGCTCTTTAACAGCAGCATATGGCAGACAGAGGTCAGTGTAAGTAAAACTTTCATTGAAGAATTGATTTTGGGAAAACGCCATTTGTCAATTTATTCATGCCTGTTATGGGGTTCTTAAAAGGCACAAGCCCTCGTGGAGTTCTGGACATAGCTAAGTGTGTGTGTCTGTGTCTGTGGAATGAGTAGTATTCAGATATTTTACATAAAAGCGAGATGGTCTTCCAACGCACAAAAGGGCACTGTTTCCCCTCTGCGTTAATAAAGGCAAAATACCAGGTGTCAATACAATCTTCAACATGGATAGATTGATTTTTTTAAAAAAAAACTGTTGTTCAGTACAGTGTACACATGTAGAAAGGGGCTTTATATATTTTATATTCATCTGCCTTAGTCTTTCTACATAACAGAAGGCTCGTTTCATCCATAGTTTCATCAAAGTGTTGGTGTTGGCCTTTAAAGCCCTAAACGGCCTCGGCCCAGTATACCTGAAGGAGCGTCTCCACCCCCATCATTCTGCCCGGACGCTGAGGTCCAGCGCTGAGGGCCTTCTGGTGGTTCCCTCACTGCGAGAAGGGAACCAGGTAGTGGCACCTGCCTTGTGGAACGCCCTCCCACCAGATGTCAAAGAGAAAAACAACTACCAGACTTTTAGAAGACATCTGAAGGCAGCCCTGTTTAGGGAAGCTTTTAATGTTTAATAGACTATTGTATAGCAACACCCTAGTGTTCCCGGGCCCTAAGGAAGTTAGATTAGCTTCAACCAGAGCCAGGGCCTTTTCAAGTCTGGCTCCGGCCTGGTGGAACGCTCTGCCTCATGAGACCAGGGCCCTGCAGCATCTGATTTCTTTCCGCAGGGCCTGTAAGACAGAGTTGTTCCGCCTGGCCTTTGGCTTGGAGCCAATTTGATTCCATCCCTCCCTCTCTCTCTCTTTTCTTTTCCTTCTCCTCCTGCTATGAGGCTACATTTTAATATTTTAATGTTTCAATATTTTAATGTTGTATTTTAATTTTGTTTTTAAGTTGTAATCATTCAACTTTTTTTTATTATTGCTTGTAAGCCGCTCTGAGCCCGGCCTTGGCTGGGGAGGGCGGGGTATAAATAAAATACTATTTATTATTATTATTATTATTAATTTTAATATTCAGTTGGAAGCTGCCCAGAGTAACTGGGGAAACCCAGCCAGATAGGCGGGGTATAACTAATCAATTATTATTATTATAGTCACATGTTGGAATTGGAAAATGCATATCTTCCTTGCGCTTAAATAGAGAAAATAGTTTCCTGACCCACCAGAGGTGTTAATTAACATAGTAAATACAGTATTGGAAGATTGTGTTACAAGCATAGGAGTTGAGAATGGTCACTGTGTTTATTTTGCACATACTTCATTTAATACAGACTATATTTTAACCATTTCATGATCATTTGAGCCCAGTATTTACACCCACCTCCCACTAACGTGTTTTTTAAAAAAATATTCCTGCCAACCGAGAACAATACTTCATGCATCTGATGAAGTCCACGAAGCATTTTGCCTTAATAATTGTGTTTGGCTTATTTTTGCTGCAACAGACTAACACGGCTCCCTCACTGGAATATCTTTCTATCTTTAATTGCCTAAAGCAGTGATGGCCAAACTCGGCCCTCCAGCTGTTTTGGGACTACAGTTCCCATCATCCCTAACCACTGGTCTTGTTAGCTAGGGATGATGGGAGTTGTAGTCCAAAAACAGCTGGGGGGCCAAGTTTGGCCATCACTGGACTAAAGAGTCAACTGAAACATAACCAAAGCAAAACAACATGGCTTTTTCTGATGATTCTCCTACTTCTGTGGAGCTCAAGGTTTCAGTTGCTGCTATGGAGCACATAATTTATAACCCTGTTAGGTATATGTTTAACATTTCTCCTACAGGCTTGCAGAATCTGTTAATTAATTGTATTTTTGAAACATGAATGGTTAGAGAACAAATAAATTTTACCATGATTAAACCACAGACCCTTTAGCAAGATCAGTCAATATAAGCTGACACTAAATAAAGAGGGGTAATCTAGTAGTTTTATCAGATGGGGAACTTGTGGCCCCCCAGTTGTTTTTGGACTTCAGCTCCCATCACCCCTGGCCATTATTATTAATTATACCTATTAGGCATCCCCCCCCAGTGAACTCAAGGGAACTTACAAAAATGAACATAAAAGCAAGCATAAAAACATCTTTAAATGCTCACCAATACTCACCAATACTCACCAGTACCACATTTGTGTGTGTGTGTGTGTGTGTGTGTGAGAGAGAGAGAGAGAGAGAGAGAGAGAAGCGTTTGGGGGATAGGCTGCATGCCTGAGTCCCTTTCCAATTCCTAATCCAGCACAGATTCAATTCCTTGAATAGCCAGGGCTAGCTTCCTGGTGAGGTACTGACCCTCTAAGTATGGGCCACTGAGGTTACAAAGGAAGTGGCTCAAGGGACAGGCAGAAAATGGGTGGGTTTCCCTCCCTCAACTCACTGGTAGTTAAAGAGGCAAAAGGCCAGAGCTGAGAATTTAGGTGTGTGAGAGGTAGAAGGTAGAAGCAAAGCTCCAGGCTGGGCAGCTGGGAGGCAGAATCATGCCTGATTTCTGCTGGAATCCAAGGCTGTGGCTATGGGAGAAACAAGACCCTCTTGGGGTGTTAATGCTGTAAGCCCCTCCATTGTAGGATCAGGTTGTATATATGTGTAAATAAACCATATATCATAAAGACACCACAGTCTCCACTGTCCCTCATTCCAAGGAAACAACCCTTGCCTAGAACCCCTGGAATCTCACACCACTCAGAGCTTGGAGTGATACGCAACAATATAATATAATGACTCTTGGCCGTGCTAACTGGGGCTGATGGGAGTTCAAGTCCAACAACATTTGGAGGGTCACAGGTTCCCCAACCCTTAGGTGATTCTGCAACTTGGTGTCATCAAAACATTAAATAGATAAGGACTAATTTAGTGCATTGGTCTGTATGTGGCTTGGGACTTTGGTATATTGAATATCTCTTAAGATGCCTGTAACTGAACAGTCAGTTTTCCCTTCTACCACTGGCCTGATGTTGTTTACTTTCACCTCTGTCCATGTATATGAATGAGTGGAAGGCAGTGTTCCTAAGAAAAAGGAAGCTGTTTATAAACCTGTCTGCTGATTTGGGATTTTTGCTGCCTTTAAATATTGGAAGCTACAGAAATATATTTAAGCATGAAGGTAGGGATGGAAAGCACTAAGCCAAATCCAGGTTCATGGGGCATTGAGACAGCCTTATATTGCTGCCATACAGACACTTTATGAACCAGTGCATGCTTTCTGCTCCCTTTCACTGTGTCACCAGTTACACAGAACCCCAACTTGAGTAAATATGGTTTGGTAGCTTCTGCATGAGAGGGTTTTCCTATTTTTAAACTCATCCCATTCCAATGTTTTGTCTTCATTTTACAAGGCTAACATTGTTTGCTCAGTTGTTAATTCAGTTGCTTACCCACCCTACTATATTTCACTGGAAACTTCATTGCCAACAGTGCTTATGTTGTTTTGCTAATGAAATACAGAAGTTAAAAAAGTCTTACTGCATTACATACAGGAAACTAATAAATTCCTTGTCTCTCCACAAGGCTCGACACCATTTTTCAGCAAGTGTCTATTTCCTAACCTAATTAGAAAAAAAGAGCTCATTAAAGGCACAAAGAATTAAGCCAACTAATGCTTATCATGTTTTAATTTTGCTTTAGGCACATTTTTTCTCCTCTGAAAACTTTTTAATAAAAAAAATAGACTAATTTGCTGTGTAAGAAAAGACTTACATGTTTAAACACAATTCCTTGAAAAACACAGGAAATATTTGAATGTCTTACAGTTAATGTCAGAATGTTCTAGGTTGTGGCATGCCCTGGCAGGCTATCTTTTCAGATCTATGGCATCTGAAGCTGTACTGTATCTCCAAACAACTTGAATAGCTCCTGCACCATTTGTGCACTTAAAAAAAATTGCCCAATATCTTGCCCACTATTTATCTTTAAATAGGAATATTGTATTCATTAACATCAAGTGAGAACATGTCACATTTCTCTGTTTTGATTTTCAAGTAGTATTTATTGCATTAGATTTATCCTTATGACCTTTTAAAGTTAATTCTAGACAAAGATAAATTTCTGTGGTTTGCAGTTTATATGCAGTTGGAAAAAAATAGGCAAAAACAGTTGTGAGGGAGTAGGTAAAAGTTTGTTGTACTGATGTTTGGCTTGTGGTCATTTGTGCTATATTTTCATTAAAGTTAAATAACTATATAATTACTTACACCTGTATCTTGCCAAACACATAAGCCAAGGACTTTCAGGAATCTTTCAGTTATATTTGTTGTTATGGCTGTCATTGTGGAACACTCATAAAATGGCTACATTCTTGCACTGAAGCAAGCAAAGTAATAAATTATGACATTTAAATTTAAGATTAAATAATTAATGAGCTGGAGCACACAGGTGAACAATAAAGAAAGAAAATTTATCATCACAACCTCCTGACCAATGCTATTTTTCTAGAAAAAAGAGGTGCTGGAATTCACCATGACCGATTTAGCTGCTAACACACAGAACCTTAGTCAGGAATGTGACTACAGGAAGACAAAGGGCACAATTTGTATACGGGTGACATTTTGTCCAAGAGGGGGAAACAATTGCTAGGTATCAGCTGTATTTATGAACAATTATGCCACAAACAATTGTTTAATAGGCCAAATCCATATCTGGAGGAGAGCTACATTGCCATCAAGAGCAAACAGGCCTGTGGGTGGGGGCAGGGTAGATAACAGAACACTTTACAGCAGTGATGGCCGAACTTGGCCCTTCAGCTGCTTTGGGACTGCAATTCACCTCATCCCTGACCACTGGTCCTGTTAGCTAGGGATGATGGGAGTTGTAGTCCCAAAACAGCTGGAGGGGCAAGTTTGGCCACCACTGCTTTACAGTGAAACATTACCATTAGGCAAAATGAGGCAGCCATGGGTGGCAGATTTTGTGAGGTTGTAGCAGTAAGGGGCTAGTGGCTAGAGCTATGTGCATTAAGTGGCTTGCCCTGCGCCCCTTGCTGTCTTTAGGTATGGCAGAAGATACTGTCTCAGCACCAGTGTTTTAGTAAATAGCCATTCCAGGCTACTTCTGGATTGGGGGGGGGTGTAATGCATTTTTTCTACCTCATATTAAAATTGGACCAAACCCTGTGCTGAAGAGAAACCTAGCAAATAACTGAACATGAACAAACAGTAGCAATATCAAGAGGTTACCTCAGTGGCCCTGCTGTCTTTATGAAGTGTCCACTGAAGTGGCACTGTTACATGATGAATGCAAGCTGCCATGAAGAAACAATGCTCTTATGGTCTTTTGAGCTATTCTTGAGTGATGATGCCTAGGTTCTCCTGGGTGCAAAACTAGAGTTGGGCCTCATTAGGCAGTAAATGGGCATACCTTCCAGCACATCCCAGCAACTAAGGGTTTTGACAGCTGTCTTTCCTCTGGATTCAGCATGTGAGATTAAGAGTGGGATTGAAATGTTGGCAAGCCTGAATAGTCATATCACTGCCTTGGCTTTTGCAGCAGATGAGAGAGAGAGCATGTTGACCTTGCTTTCACCCAGAGAAACATGACAAATCCAAAGTCTTACTAAGACAGATGGTTGCCACAAAAATTCTGTGTGTGTCAGGTCTTTGACTTTGCCATGAGCATAGTCAGCAGTGTATCTATTTTGAGCACTGTAGCAAGAAAAAAATATTTTCAGTTCAGTAGTTCTATCCCTTGCTACACACTATAAGAAGTGCAGTGAACAAAACAATGAGTTGCCCATATGGGTTGCATTCTTTGATTTTTAAAAATAAAGGAAAGAATGTACATAAATATATCATCTGTCTGAAATACAACACCTTTTGCACAATTCATAGTGAATATACCGGTACATAATTCACAGCTGCTGAATGCTGTGTTGGCCATTAGAATAGACTGCTTTAAAAGGATCAGGCAAACTAATGTAATATAGGTTTATCAATTACCATTATCCATAACAACTAAAACAAAGAACTTCTATGTCCTGAATCAGTAAAGTTTTGATTTCCAGATTCTTGGGACAAATAAGAGATGATTATCTTCAATTTGCCTTGCTTGAAAGTCACAGAGCATCTAGTTAGCCATTATGGAAAACAATGGTAGAGATGCACCTGTGTTCTGATCAACAAAGCTGTACTTATGTCATATACAAATCCCATGCAGTTTGATACCTTTTTGAAATGCATACTGCTTCTTGCACTTCTATCTTACTGCTAAAGTTCAGAACCTGTAAGGTGTGAAGCTTCTACCAGGACAGGCCTTTTGAAAGCGACGAAAAGCAATCTCATGTTCACCGCCAGCCAATCCATTGGACAAGGTGGAGAATTGCCAGGACTTTGGGAACCTGTAGTTCTCCTGATGTCGGATTCCAATTTGCATCAGCTCTGTCAAGCATGGCTAGTGGTCAGGGATAGGAATTGTAGTCAAGCAATATCTGGAAGGCCACAGGTTCCCCAGTCCTGACCTACAAGGTATGTTATCCTTAGAGACTTTGGCATCACACACCATCAGAACATTGGGGCTTTAGCAGCGTAAACATTGTTTTCATGGAGAATCCACTCAATAACTGGCTTAGTATTTATGGCAAGTGCCTTCCAGGACCTATACAAAAAGCCAAAACCACAAGATGATCCAGTTCATTTAGTAAGGATGCTTTCTGCCTGAAGACCATCTGGAATTCATTGTTTGGGAACCTTATTGCTCACATATTCCTACTTAGTTACAGCTGGTAGCAGTACAGTGATTTCCTGCCAAGTTAGGACGTAATATAATAATAATAAATAATAATAATTTTATTATTTATACCCTGCCCATCTGGCTGGGTTTCCACAGCCAATGCTGCTTGGCTTTTCATAAGTCAGCTTCTTGAGGCAGAAACATTACTAATTTTTAAGTTCTTAGCAAATTTGAATAATCATAAAATAAATTATTCTTATTTCAAAATACCATATTGTAGCTATACAACTTTAGGTCCAACAGCAGATAAGAGATGGTCATATCCATGCATGATTATTGATCGCATATTGGCTCTATACAGATAATTCCCCCCACCATTCAAGAACAGTAGTAAAGGTTTATTTCTGCTATTAAACTAGTTCCATTTCTGTAGCCATGGCATGGGAACTAGTCAAACATATTAGGGTAAGAATGGAGATCTTATACAGGGAGACTAGCCTTTCTAGGGTGGGGGAGATACGGGCTATATGAGTAAATGTTTGTCTTATAAAGGGCAGGATGGTAGATAATTATATAGTCATTAGTAACGTAAAGGGCACTGCTCTATCATATACTTGTGACAGTCACTGAAACACCAATGGAGATGAAAGAATAAGGTCTCTTCCATCACAGATGCACATATACACATTTGAGCAGCACACTGTGTGCACACAGGTCTGTTATGGCCTACCCTTGCCTCCATCTTCCCAGTGATGTTTGCAATGTGGGGCCAATATATGCAGAACTGGATGTGACAGGGAGAGCTTGCAACTTAGTGGTGGTGCATATGGTTAGCATCTAGAATATCCTAGGTTCAGTTCTTGATCTCTCCAAATAGGGCTGCGGGGAAGCACTGTTACCAGTCAGTATTGACAATACTGAGCTAGATGGACAATGATCTGACTTTGTATACTTCAGAAAAGGGGATGAAAAGAGTTTGCTAGATGTTATTCTTGCAAATGGATTTTTTTCCTTTACCACATATAACAAATTATTCCATAGTCACAAACTAAACCAGAAGGGATTGTTTTGTGTGGTTGTGTGGGTGACCATGTAATTGTTATGCATGCAGCATAGTTTACAGCTGACAAGCCACAAGAGGTTTGGAAATGTCCACTTTAATCAGAAAACGTAACTAATATGCATGATAGTTCTTTCTATATGAAAAATGCTTAAAAAGCCCCAGTAACTGTTGCATTCCTTAAGTCAACATACAATAATTCTCTGCGCAATCATTCTTCTTGGTGTGCCACCAGCTTGAAAAGCCTAGAATGTTAATTGTCTGTATCAGGCTATCCTCCATCACAGATGACCAGATTTGCTGCAGTAAATAGCCTAAAAACTGCCAAAGGAAAAGGATAACGCTGATATCTTTGGGGTTTTCCTTTAAGGACGAGCTTTTGCTCATTCATAAGAAAGTACTTTAGTGGGAATCCCTCCATAACCTTGGTTTCCCATTTACTGTGTGCCCAATGATTTTACTACTATCACACTCTGGAGCTTGTACAGGTTTCTGTGTCTCCTGCAAGCTCTGGAGTTGCAGTGTCTTGTTTGTCTGATATCAGATGTGTGTCCTCACTCTCTCTTAATTGAGCCACCCTCTCTCCTTTATCTTTTATTTCCTGGTCAGAAGCAATACCATCTTCCCTATCACTCAAAGTGCTCTTCTGTGATTTCATTTTTGTATCCTCTGCATTGTCATGATCTGGATTTTTCTCTTTGTCGTCTTTGATGTTCTCACATGAATTTTCCCCTGAAACATTCTGATGTGGCTTCTCTTCTTTGCTGTCTTTGCATAACACCGTTTCTTCTGCTCCTGCTTCTGTCTCTTTGCTTTCTGTTCTTCTGGACACTAGTCCTGGTGGGGTTTTTTCATCAGATCCTATCTCTTTTTGTTTCTCATGGTGATCTAGACCATCCACAGGGGGAGAGAGTGACTTTGTTGCCTTTTTCTTGTCCATAAATACACCATTCTCCTCCTCAGCACCATTCTCCTGAGATGAAACTGTCACCCCTATATCTAGGTCATCTCCATATTCTGATTGAGACTTTCGAAATCTTCTAGAGGGTGGTCTGCGTTTTATTGATCCCCGTGTGCGTACCTGAAAATGGATAGAGCTGGGATTGAAAACCATAAAGGAGATCAATGCTGCAAAATCAACAAAACACCCAACATGGATGTTTATATGTTTAGACTGTTTAGACTCTTAGTCATATACTGTACTATTTCTCCTTTACATCAATAGCATTTGGCATCACCTTCATTTTCATGAGAGAGAACAGATGGTTGCCCCTTATCACAAAAGGGGAGAAGAGGTTAATAGATTATTTTCTGTGCCCACCTTTGTGTGTATATGACTGTTGTGTTGTTACACAGATGGGCAACATAGCATGCATGGATGACAAATATGATTCTCTGGTCCATGCCAACTTTAGGGATTCTACCATAACATGAGATTGTGTTCAAATCTGAAAACCAAGAATTTAGGCTGAAGAGTCCTGACTCATTCTTTTCCTACTTATAAGTAAGAAATAAATTTCTATGGAAAGCATTTTATTTATTCATTTTTTGATCCCAGACTAAGTGAAAGAAATAACGACTTCACATGTTCAGTGGCACCAGTGAATGGTCCTGGAGTACTTGATACTGCACTGCAATATCTGGGATACTGGTAGTTTGGGCAAGACTGAACTTCATGGCCAATAGCTTATGACTTTGGGATCAGGCCCTCAAAAGCAAGCATGCACAAGATGAACAGGCAAGGTCAACTTTCAAGCAGATCAAATCCAAAGTGGCTGTTTGGAGATCAGGGAAGAGAGGAAGCACAAGAAAGGAATATCAGGGAAACCAGACAGAAGTAAGGAAGTCTAGATTAAGATGGTGCTCACAGTAATGCATATGTGGGTTGGTTTTTCTATGTGCACTTTTATGTGCTTTATTTTACACAAGATTACTTTCAGTTGTTTGCCTCCAAAAACTATCTCAATATTTCCAATCTACACTAACCTATTTTGTGTTTTCCTTTTGCATTTTTATTCTGTAAACCACCTTGTGATCTTCGGGTGAAGGGCAGCATATTAAATAAATAAATAAATAGTGGTGCTTGTGCTGTGTATTTTATCACTTCCACTCAATTACTACTTCCCCACCCTCCAAACGTTCCATAAACATGTCCTTTACTGCATGTGTGCATATATTTATTTACCAGTGTGCACAGGCCTTTAAAAAATGTTTTGTCCATGGCATTGTGCAAGAATTAAACTTCCACCAAAGCAAACATTTCAAGCATCTTTCACAGCAGGCAAAATGGACATTAAAAAACAAACAAATAAACCCCAAACATGTTTTACAATTTACTGGTTTTTGTGTGTGCGCAAAACAGCAGATTCAGAAATAAAAACATATCTGTAGTATATCATGTCCAGTTGTGCAGCAACAGAGAGGCAGGGCAGGGCAGGGCAGGGCAGGAGGAAGCATGGGTGCCTCTGATCTCCAGATCCTTTCCCCAATACAAAAGCCATACATTCTCTCTCTCTCTCTCTCTCTCTCTCTCTCTCCTCTTTCCTAACAAGTTGTCTCCTGCATTGTGAAAGACCAGCACACATATACCATACCTTGTTATAAAATTGAAGATGAGTGCCCTCTGGTGGCTTATCAAAACTAACTGGTGTCTCATCAGCTTCACTTGATTGAGACTTTGGGCTGACAGGAGTGGATGGAGGGCTGTTAAATGGAGAAACCATTACTTTTAGGCCAGGGCTTTTCGGAGAAGCTCCTGGCAGCAGGGCAGCTGGAGCAAATGCCAGATTGGCCTGCAAAGAAAAGAAAATAGTTGTGCCTCAATATTATCACCCCACCTATTACCAAAAGTTTGTTCTGGATGTGAAGTACACTTAACAGATTAATATATTAACACACATGCTCTCAATTGTTTGTCTTAACTCAGAACCCAGGTCTCAATGCCACACTAATCGCTGTCACTGGACACATGCATTTGGTGGCAAGTTCCCATTGGCACTGGTGGGTTGGAAGGCAGAGAGATCAATGGTAGATGGAGCCAGAGCAACCAACAGGCAAGGCCAGCCCCCTTCCTCTCCCTGCTGAGTTCTACAGAAGCTACACTGAAACTCAGGAGGAAGAAGCTGACAGACAGTGCTCCATTCGTCCTTATGGACCAACTTGCGCTGTATACCGAAGTACAGTACCTCTCAGAATCCTGTTCGCTTTTTCATGTGAGGCATGGAGCCTATGGCCTTCATCAATCCCCACCAGCATAGCCAATAGTCAGGGATGATGGGAGTTGTAGTCCAACAACATCTGCAGGATCAGAGGTCCTCTACCCGCCCTACCCCAAGCTTCCAGAATGACCTACTGCCCACCATTTGGAAATTACTATTGTTTAACATGACCATAGGGGGAGCCCTTGCTCTTAAAACATTTGTTTAAACAGCAAATGTATCTAGCAGTGACATTGTTAACAAATTATCTGTAGAAGAGAAGATATGACAGGATAGTTTCCCTTCCCAAATAGCTGGATCCAAAGACTATTCTTGTGTCAGTGAAAGCCTGAAGCATTTTCCAGCCCCTCAGCCAAGAGTATATATCTTCAGTGGCTTGGCACGGGAGAGCTTGTGAACAAAGCCATAATAATATTAGATTTAAATCTCTCTATCCATCTTCATCAAGAGAATGCTCCTAAGCTTCCAGTGTTGTGAAATCTTTCTCACTTCCAGTCCAGATGACTACCAAAAATACCACAGGAGAAAAGCATGTGGTTGTGATGTTGTTCATGTCTGAATCCCCAGATAATGCAGCTGTTAAGGTGACCAGTGTAGCTGAAAAACCTGGGTGTCATTAGCAGGGCAGTGATATGAGGAAGCTCATATTGCTGGGATCCTGGAATGCTTTTGTAGTGGATTACTAGGGCCAAGTTCACAATACCAATAGCATGAGCTGGGACAAAAACAGACGCTCTCATCTTTAACAATTCGCCACACTAGCATCAAGCAGGCATTACTGACAGAAGCAAATACCATTGCAATTTTAAAAGCACATGGAAAGTGATAAAAAGGGGAATACATGTATAGCAAAGATGACTAACCCTTTTTGTCCCCAAAGCCACATTCACCCTTAGCCAATCCTCTGAGGATCACATGCTAATGGTGGATATGGCTACCCCATACACTCACAGGTGTACATAACACACACAGCCCCCCTCTGCAGCTGATGTATGCTGATCAACCAAGGTGAGGGCCCCACCTCATTCATCAAATTATTGATCCCATGACAAGTTAGGGGATGATTTACATCCTATTAAGGTACTGGGCTGGGTGGTAATTTATTAAACATTTTTTCTTTCTGCTGTGACTAACAAAATCAGTGAGGTGTTTTGGGGGCCCAGAAATATTTACTTGGAGGAGCTGAGGGGATAGCTTTCCTTGGAGTATAGGACTGCATCCTAACTTGTAATGCGTACGTAATCAGATCTTACCTGTAGCTTTTCAATTAGGGGAGAGCTTTTTACCTTAACCTTTAGAGGATGTGAAGCATTTGGAGATGGCTTCTGTAGAAAGAGAAACAGGAGATTGCTGCAAATAGGCAGTTTGCTACACATTAAGGTTGTGTGTGCATAAGGCATGGAGAAAGGTGGAAAAGGAACAAAATGAGCTGTTGTTACAATCCTTCTGATAATGAATTTACCTTATAAGTCAACAGTGGCCACAACTGGGCTCCTGAGAAATAAGAGGGAAACGTCAGCATGCATGTGGGAACCTCAAGGTGGGCAAAAGGTGGGTTCCCCAACAGTTTTAGGGGAAAAGACGGCCTGGCCTTAGCATGCTGGGCAAACACAGATGCCTTGGGCCCCTTAGGGTCTATTGCTGCCGTTTCCACCTTAGGGCAGCCCAAGGTATTTTTGCTGCCTAAGGTGAAGGCAGGGTGTTTCTGCCCCTCCATTTCATATCCAGAAGACAAGCAGTCTGGTGACAGGACAGCATTCTTGACTGTACTTGAGGGCAGCAGGCAAACTTAGAGGGTGCAGGCCAGGCATGCACTTGATGACTAGATATTCTACTAGTTTTGCATTAAAAAAACAACAAAAAACATTCTGATGTATTTTAAATTTTGTATTGTATGCTTAAAAAAAAATTTAAGACTACAATTTTTGTAGTGACAAATATAATAAATAATATAACATTGGACCATGTGTACATGTACACCCATCTTCTTCTGGAACAGCTGGGTTGTTCGTAGAGATATGTGGCTTCTGTGTTCCTTTATCCTTTTAGATTAGCCTTCCCCATCTTTGTGTCCTCCAGATATTTTGGATGACAACCTACACCAGCCCCAACAAGCATGGCTGTGCTGGCTGGTGCAGATGGGAAAACATATGGAGGGCACCAGTTTGGAGAAGCCTGTTCTAGATCTCAGCTAGAAAACCAGTTCAGATTCTCAAAACAGACTGATGCTTATTCTAGTTGTATTTGATCCAAGCAAAGCTGACATCTCATACTGTCCAGATAGACAGAGCTGCCCTTTCATGTCCCGTATGCTACACAGCAACACTAGCCTTAACTTTAATGAGGTAGGGCACCCATAGGTTAGCCTGAAAGCTATCTTTCTTCTAGTAGTAGTGAATTTATGCAGCTGTGCAATGGCTTAGCAGTATCAGTGGTTTGTGTGGATGGAATCATGTCCCAGTGGTAGAAGGAGAGCACCAATTGTGTCTGTGCACCGTTGTTTGACCTGTAATAAGACTGACTTTCCCTACTCTGTCAGCATTGAAGGATGCCATTGGGATCTAAAGTGACATAGGAAATGTGTAGCATAACAACATCAACCTGATACTCATTTAGTCAGCCAGCCCACCCATCATACTAACCTCTGGACCATTACATCTTTAGAGAGACTGACACTGCTTACAAAAGGAAAGGAAACAATAACTTCTTCAAAACACTGATACTTACTAGCTCACCATTCTGGCCAAGCTCTGCCTTGTTTGTGTGGAGAGGAAGGGAGCATGGTGGTTTTCTACGGGTTGGTTTAGTGACTGGTATCTAAAAATAGAGGAGCAGCTTATCAGTTGACAGAAGAGGAAGGAAGGAAAATCAAATGGAAAATGCAATCTTTATATCGGGAAAGGACCTAAGAGCAGATGGTTGGGGAAAGCTCTTGAGATGTTACTGCCTATTTAGCAGAACTCCACTAATGTCTCTCAAGACAGACGGAGGCCAACAACAACAATCATTATTTTGCTAGACTCACCTGTCTTTTCTGTTCTGGACAAGAAGAGTATAATCATGATTTCTGTTTCCTTTTGTTTCTTGTTAGAAATATGCAATGCTTTCTCCACTCAACAAAATTACTACACTACTCTATGCTGGGCAGAAAGTGTCACAGTCACCTATTGCATAGTGTCTATAACATTACTAGGGACGCGGGTGGCGCTGTGGGTAAAACCTCAGCACCTAGGACTTGCCGATCGCATGGTCGGCGGTTCAAATCCCCGCGGTGGGGTGCGCTCCCGCCGTTCGGTCCCAGAGCCTGCCAACCTGGAGCGTCTGAAGGAGCGTCTCCACCCCCATCGTTCTACCCGGACACTGAGGTCCAGCACCGAGGGCCTTCTGGCGGTTCCCTCACTGCGAGAAGCCAAGTTACAGGGGACCAGGCAGAGGGCCTTCTCAGTAGTGGCGCCTTCCCTGTGGAACACCCTCCCACCAGATGTCAAAGAGAACAACAACTACCAGGCTTTTAGAAGACATCTGAAGGCAGCCCTGTTTAGGGAAGCTTTTAATGTTTGATGTATTTTAATATTCTTTTGGAAGCCGCCCAGAGTGGCTGGGGAAGCCCAGCCAGATGGGCGGGGTATAAATAATAAATTATTATTATTATTATTATTATTAACCTAGCAGTTCGAAAGCACCCCGGGTGCAAGTAGATAAATAGGGACCGCTTACCAGCGGGAAGGTAAACGGCGTTCCGTGTGCTGCGCTGGCTCGCCAGATGCAGCTTGTCACGCTGGCAACGTGACCTGGAAGTGTCTGCGGACAGCGCTGGCTCCCGGCCTATAGAGTGAGATGAGCGCACAACCCTAGAGTCTGGCAAGACTGGCCCGTACGGGCAGGGGTACCTTTACCTTTTATAACATTACTGATAACAAGTGACACAACTCTCCACATGCCTGCGCAGTGTCTCAAGGCAAAGTAAGGAGAATAAATTGTTTTCTGAGTTCACTAGCTCCTGTGAAGCAACAAAGCTTGTTACATTTGAAAGCTTTTTCATAACTGACTGTCACCAAGCAAGACTTAAGGTGCAAAGTTATATTCACAAGTACTATCAGACTAGTTGCAAGAACTTGTAACAGTAAGGAACAAGGGGGTGAGACTCGGGGGCAATTTTGCAAGTGCCTGTGAAAATGGTATTTGCAGTTCTTGCAGCTGTAAACTGAATGAAAATATATTAAGGAAATATACCGGTACTACAGTGGTTCCTGATTATCAGCACCTTTGAGCCCTTTATGATGCATGCTCTAATTGCATTTTAACCTCTGCACAATCCTGCTACTGCTACAAGCCCTGACCTGGTAAAAATTGTGCAGTATCCTATTAATACATCATTGATACGAAGTGGATAAAGGTGTTACTGCTTGCATATGCATCCTTAAAAATAAACCATAGCTTGTGTGCGCTCCCATGTAGGAGAGGGGGTGCTTAGCTTACAAAATAATGATGAAAATGGAAGATTTACAAACAATTAGAGATGTGTGTCTGTGTTGATAAGGCTTTTTTTTACTGGTGTCACTGGTGTTATGGAATGCACTTCTTGCTGAAGTTTTAGAGGTCCTATCTGTACTGGCACTCCACTGGCTTTTGAAGACACACCTATTTAACACAAACGTTTCTTTGATCTCTTTGCAATGGTCTCCTATTTTAACTGCTGTGTTGTTTTAATGGGATTGTTTTGTTGCATATTTTAATTATGAATTTATTAATTTTTAAAATGATTTAATAGGATTGCTTCCTGGTGCATTTTAATTATGATTGTTTATAGTTTAATAGTATTTGTATTATTGGTTTTTATACTTGTAAACAGCTTAGAAGCCTATTTTGGCATTCAGTGCTTTTAGATAATGCTGCTACTAATGATAATACAAAACAGGCACCATAGCAATGGATTTGCTACTCTGAAGAAAGAATTAAGACAAATTAGTAAAAATAAATAAAAATGCAAATTTATTGTGTAAAAGTGTTAGGAAAATTCTAAAAATCCCAAGGCATTTTTTGCATGCAAACACACACCCTCTCTTCTTGCACTGTTGTTTTCTGAAACTGAAGATTTCATTAATTCTGTACAGTTTAGTGCCAGCAGAAATTGGCACAAAAGAAAATCTAGTTGCAGACCATTTCAGCCAACAGCGAAACTAGAATAGTAATGCAAAATAAATAAATGCATTTCTGTGATTAATAAAGCATAAGCACACATGATTTACATTATTATTAAATTTGTATACTGCCCTTCATCTGAAGATCACAGGGTGGTGATCTTGTACAATATAAAAGTACAAAATGGGAACACAAAATACTTAACACAACAAAAACAGATCAATAGTCCCCCTCCCACAAACACATTGTGAAGTCCATAGAACATTTTATCAGCCAAAGGCTTGGTTATAGAAAAACATTTCCCCAAGTGCCTAAAGATATGAAGGTGCCAGGCGAGCCTCTCTGGGTAGAGCATTCCACAAATGGGTTGCCACCCTCTGGGCATCTCATGGAGGGGGCAGATGAAGAAGGGCTTCAAATGATGATTGCAGGATCTGGGTCAGTTCATATGGGTAGAGGTGGTCCTTGAGGCATTGCAGTCCTGAGCCATTAAAAGCTTTATAGCCGCAGCCACAGACCCGAGGGGTGGCTGATAGGGCTACCATAATTCCCCTGGTTGGAGGGAGGCCTGGCACATGGCACAGTCACTAACACCATACCTCCCCTTTCCCAGAACCACTGTGATTGGGGCGCCCCCTGCTCTCCCCAGCTCCTCTTTTCCCAGGCACATCTTATATCTCACCCCCTCACATTTTAAAACACCCAAGTTTAAAAGTACTGTACTGTAGTTTAAAACAATTTAAAATATTTTAAACAACTAGGGCAAGGCCTTTCCCAGAGAAAATGATGTTATGTGGGCAGCCCTTGCCTCCCCCCAAAGTCGCTCCCCCCCAAAGGGGAGACTTCGCCAGACCAGGTAATTATATAGCCCCCACTCCCCAGGTAGATTGAGCCTAGGCAGACTCTCAGTCAGTCATTCAGCAGGGGTTGGGGTTGGTCAGGCTTCACTAGGCCAGCCAAAGGTATGAAAATGCCAGCTTCCTCAAGAGGAAGAGGAATTCCAGCAGCTGTGGAGGAGGACCAGATGAACAGCTTGCCCCCTTCGCTGATGGACTCTGGTTCCTGCTGCCTTTGAGAGTGAAACATCAGTTCTCCAGATAGCCTGTCACTCAATTTCCTTTTCCTTTGTGGTTGAGTTTCAAACTATTTTAATGCCTCTATAACAGGAAGTGTTATTGTTTATTGTTGGGTTTCATTATTATTGTGTTTTAATACTTTTTTTGTAGTAAGCCAGCCACCCAGAGAATATTTGTTGATGGGCAGCTATAGAAATCCACATAACAATGATAATTGTACCTAACCTCCTTTCCAGACAGAGATGACTGATCTTGGAATTTTCCTGCCAGCTTTGCCACTGAGGGAGTTGTGGACTTCTCTTCCACCATGTTGGTTCCTGATGGCTTGTCCTGAAAAAAGACCAGAAACAAAAAGCTTGTCACTGTATGAAAATACGGCAATCAGTGGAGATTCTGAAGCTAACAACAATTATTATAAAGCAACAGGGGCAGTCACCTCCAGCTCTATCAGGAAGTCTTTGAGTGATAGCCAACTAAGCTATACTCAGAGTAGACCTATTGAAACATGGGTGTAGCCAGGGGAGTGCAGGGGCAGCTGTCCCCTCCTAAATCAAGTCAATAAATAAAAATACTTAACTAACTGACCAATTGTGTCGCAGATAACTCAGTTCTGCCCCCCCCCCCAAGTCTGCCCCTGAAAAATAAATCCTGGGTACGCCTATGTATTGAAATCAATAGACTTACATTAGGGATCAGCAAGGTTTACCTCGCCTGGGCTGGTTCACTCCAGCGGAGATCCCTCCATGGGCCAGATTGTGGGTGCTCATGAGAGTGCACACCTGTGATTTCCAGCGTCTGCGCAGAAGCGATTTCCGGCACCGCAGAAGCGAGTCCCTGAGCTGCGCCGGTTTAGCAGGGCGCGCGGGGACTTGCTGAGCAGGCGGCTCGGTTCGGGGGGCGGCTCATGGGCTGGTTAAACGACCCCCGTGGGCCGCTTGTGGCCCATGGGCCTTTAGGTTGCCGACCCCTGACTTACATCCGTTGCTTTCAGTCAATCTACTTTGAGTATAACTTAACAGGGCATGTCAACCTTTGTCTATTATTCAGCATGATAATTTGACTTATTCTCTGTTGAAATGTTGGAAATCTTCTTTTGTGTATGTGGGGGGGGGTTCCATATTCATTTTCAGAGTGGCTTCCTCCCTTTTCTGTTTTTATACAGGGTGAGGGAGTTTGAAGTATCTCAATAAAGAAAGGTAATGTTTGGGGCAGGCGACTGGGCAGGGGGAGGGGCAAGGCATAGTTGCAAGAAATTGGTTTGTGGGAGAGGATGGGAAACTTAAGCCCCTGCCCTGTTCGGTATTTCCCTCCTTTAAATGCACCTAGCCCAGGCCAATTTTACTGGCAGAACTGCTTTATAGTTCTGGAGTCCATCCAGGGAGAAAATGCTCAAACTGGGGGAAGGGAAAGACACCTCCCCCCCACACACAATTTGACCCATATTAAGAGCCCCTTGAGGTATTCTAAGAACAATAGCTAAGTGGCGCAGTACAAAAAGGAAAGGGACCACCAGGCCCACTCTGGATCTCCTGTAATTCAAGCACTGTTTAAAACTGCTTGAGGGGGAGAGTTATTGGCAGGAGAGAATTGACAGGCAGTAGAAAGGTTAAACAACTCCCACCCCCTTACCCTCCAATTCTTTCCTGCAAGAGCTGGGAACTCTCTGTTTCCCTCATAACTTCTATTTCCGCCCATATTGTTCCCTATGTGTGAGAAAGAGGTTTGTCCTTCAATTCACAGGAGGCAGCTAGCATACCATTCTAAGATTAGACAAGAGCAAACTAGCTATGGACCGTGGCCTGCAGGATTGGCAGCTGCAGATGCTCAGATTATGCTCCCAAATATCACAATTAAAGGAAAACCTTTAAAACAGTAATGCATATACTAGGGTAAAGTGTGCATATGCACACATTACTGAAAATAGCATTAAAATGTATCATATTAGGGAAAATAATTTTGCAAAAATGTGTACAATAGGCAAAATTATTTATAAACATATGTAGGTTTGGCTAAATTAGGACTAAAATGCCGATGAATTTTTATGAAGATTTTAAAAAATAAATCACCAACTGATCTGGAACTTAAAACTGGAAAAATGAGAAACTGAAACTCACAGATTTGTCCATTCTCAGCTGCTACTTCATTTTAACAATCTTGAGATTGTTCCAGGTTGGGTCTCTATATCTCTGTAGTATTAATATTTGACCTCACATTTGCCCTCTTTCCGAGAATCACAACCATATCTATGAGTTCTCTGTCTGATGATGATTGGATAACTATTTAAAGACCCCAACAACAGCAGAGCATTACACCAAAGGGTTGAGGTGGGTGGAATTAGACTAGTGCAAAGTTGACAGCACAATCGGATGGAGCAGAGATGCAGCAGGGAAGGAGTGGGACTTCATTGGAATCTTGTGCCAACCCACAAATCTGTCCTTCAACATTGCCAGCAGAACTCTACATGCGCAAAAGAGGTGGCATAAACATTCCCAGTCAAGTCAGTGGATGTCCCCAAGAAACTATCCCCCTACTTTCCCTCAGAACTGCAGTGGAAGATGGGATTCCACCTAACTCTGCAGCCCATCACATCACGTCACAAAGGAAGAATCATTATGATTTTTGCCCATGGAAGTATTGCATCACTAACTACCTAGAATTGTTGGAGGATATCCACAAGCGTGCAGATCTATATATATCAACTAGTAATTTGCAAAAAAGCAAGAAGCAGAGAGGAGGAATAAACTGACAGTTTTCACTACCAGGATAAGTAAATAGCAAGCTTGATCAGGAGTTGGGATGAATAGCAAAGTAGTCAAGTTTCCAAATGTCACCAAATTATTCACAGGAAGATTACATCCCAAGCAGACCGAGAAGAACTCAACAGATCTCTACATATTGGATGACTGCCAGCAAAATGGCAAATGAGATTAAACGTAAGTGAGTGCAGACTGATATATCCCGGTACAAAAAAAGAGAGAAGACAGAATCATCTAAATTGACTATAACCACTCTGGAAAAATGATTCTGAATCACTGAAAATGTTAGCTCCATGTGTTGCACCAATGCTAAAATGAATATTCAGAAGTGAAAATAATACCATTACAGTGGTACCTCGGGTTACATACTCTTCAGGTTACATATGCTTCATGTTACAGACTCCGTTAACCCAGAAATAGTACCTTGGGTTAAGAACTTTGCTTCAGGATGAGAACAGAAATCGCACGGCGGTGGCAGCAGGAAGCCCCATTAGCTAAAGTAGTGCTTCAGGTTAAGAACGGACCTCCGGAACGAATTAAGTACGTAACCAGAGGTACCACTGTATATAAATCTACACTTGTGCCATGCTGTATGCAGCTCTGGTTGCCCCATCTTTAAAAATATACCAGTGAATTGGTGAGGTACAGGAAGGGGTATCTAGAATGATCAAGAAGCGGAACATTTTCTCCACAACGAACTGCTTAAAAACTGGAGTTTTAATTATTAATATTGTGGACAGTTACAGCAGCCTCATACCAAGGTAGACTATCAGGTCACATCTGCATACAGTTTAAGCACATACAATGCACCTACTACACAACTTTGTTTTCACAGATGAGAGTCTTGTGGACATTGTAAGAAACAGAAAATAGTCTAATTTGTATATGGTTCCTACCTAAAATTTGTGTTTCTTTAATTTTAGTGTAATGTGTCTTTAATAATAATAAATATGTGCTTTTGTACATCTGATATGTACCATGTAGGTATCATACACAACAGGCTGAAACTACTATATTTACAAAAATATACTGGATATTAAGAGCTGGAAAAACAGAGTCACACAGCTCTCAACAGCCAGTATCTTAAACACAGTAACAGTGACAATATTTGCAAAGGATAGCTTATTATCATAATCCCTCTTAGTAAAAAAAGGAAAAAAAGGGGGGGGGGGAGTTGCAATGGAAAAAAAATCATCCAGCTGCATCTGTGAGTGTCAGGGAAAGACACTCAGAGGAAGTGGGCCTTGTTCCCACAAGATAGTGGAATGACCCTGAGGCTAGCTTTATCAAAACTTAAGTTTTTCTCTTTAACTTTTCCTTCCTTTTAGAATAAGCAGTCTCATTTACAAACAGTGAAGGAACAAGAAGATTGATACTGCTGTTTATGCTTTACAATTCTTAAAATAGTTGAGAGGTATTTAAACATTGGAAGAACAAGGGCCAAGACTACAGATAGCTTGAAGAAGGACCACAGTTTATGGTCATATATGGTATATTGCACATTCTGAAAACTTAACAGACATCCGGTTAGCTACAGGCCAGGCCAAACCTGATATTTTTGAAGCAACTTGGTTCCTTTCATGTCCTTTAATTAGCTGTGGACAGCATTAGCCAATTAGGGTCCCAGGAATCTATTGAACATTGCTGGATTATTTTAAAGAGAAGATATACATAATCATCCATGGTAACAATGAACAAAAAAGACAACCAACAGAGTAAGATCCTGCCACTGCCAGTTCAAGTACATACAAAGACCAGGGAGGGGACTGAAAAGTAAACACCAGTAACAATCATGGATGCAAAAAGGAAGCAGCAACACTCAGTATTCCTGGGACCCTATGATACTGACACACACACACACAGTATATGGTGCTTGTTTCAACTGAGGCAATTTACACGCCATGCATTTCAAGCAGATGACTTTCCACAAGGAATCCTGGGACCTGCAGTTAGTTGGTGTTGGATTGCAATTTAAACAGAAAAACTTACACTGGTCAGAAAGCTCATTCGTATTTCAAATGCCTCTTTCTCTTTACATATTAACTATGGTCTGTCATTTGTAATATATATGTAGTGAGAGACTCATAAACAATGGTTAAATTGCATGTCACATGTGAAAATGGTCTCAAAGGGCAAGCATTTAATTTGTGTTCTTTTACCACAAATATATTGCTTCAATTGTTAAGTGGAGGCAAGTGTTCTAGTAACTTAAAGAAGAAGCCAGTAAAGAAAGTTGGTGAAAAAAACAGAAAACGAGTAGGCAGAAACAGTGACCCCCCCCACTAAAATACTGTTTAGGGGTACTCTCATTTTGACTCGAGAAAATCACCATTTTATAGTTCAAATCAGGAAAAATAACTACAGTAAATGGACAAAAGTACAAAGATTCACAAAATGTTTAGAGGTATGCGTCGTCCCCCCAGAAAAAAAGCACTGGACAGAAAGAATACTTGCTCAAAAAGAGACTGAATCTAGAGAGCCTCTATTGAGATTGTTAACTCTCTTCATGGGCTCAGCCAAGGCAGAAGTTACTCAGGAAGTGGGTAGACTCATGTTGGTCTGTAGATATTCCCCTAGAAGGAAATTCCACAATGACTATTCAGATTGGGAGCACACAGGAGCAAGCAGGGGGCCCTGCACAAGAAATAGCACATATTAAGAGTTGAGTAAACAAATCGCTCCATTCTTACCAACTACACTGGATCTCTGAGTGAACATCCTTTTTCTACAGCCGGCTTTAGTTTTATTTCCCCCTCTCCGTATGTCATGACATTTGGCAATCTGATGCACTCCTTTGTAAAGAGGAAATTGTGCAATTTTTCTTGCAT